ATTGACTGGCCTTTCTGGATCGAGGTGTGCAAACGCATGTCGAGCTCAATGAACACCATGTCCGAAGTCCGCATGCTGTCTTTTGTCTTTACCGTGTGGGATGCCATGGCCAGAGACTCGCGCATGAAGGCGGCCGTGTGTTTAGAGTGGCTCCTGGCCGAGGAGTCGTTTAATGCGTATTTCAACAACTGGTGCCCCATGGTTCGAGCTTACTACCAGCGCCTTATTTGCTGGCGAATGTGTCGATACACTGGTGGCTCCGATGAAATGGACATGAATATCTACCTCGCGGCAGCCGCACGACTCAAGACCAACTGGGCTCACTACTTGTACTTGAAGCAAACCGCAGAAGAGACGGGCAAAATAGCTCCGTCAACGGCACCCATGTCCCCTGCCATGGGCAAGAAGTTTATGATCATTCGCCAAGAGGCCACCTCGCCGAATCCGGGCCTGTTCATGGGCTTCGACACATTCGCCAGAACCACAGCAACATCATCGAAATCCAACCACCAGCTCCTGCTTGGTATCGATTCCCCAGACACTGGCGTACTCGGCCGCAGCGATAATGGAAAGAAGCGTTGGTCGCTGCTGGGGAAAGTCCTCGCAATTACGTCTGGGAACATTCAACCAGCCGCCGTGGACGACGAGTATGGACGGACACCACCGGGTTCAGCGGGAAGCGACACTAGTAGCGTCTTTGGTCGAAAGCTGGCCGACCCGGCACCCCTCATTTCATCATCCAACTCGGGAGGGCGCCTGACCAAGACGGGCCTGAAAGTCTCCTCCCCATCTTCAGACGATGGATCCTTGGGATCATCTCCCGTCTACGACGAACAAAAATACACCTTCAAGTTTGTCCTCGGGTGGCAGCAAGCTCCTACTCCCGCTCGTGATCGCGTCCTGACGAGACCTCGCCTGCCCATCTCAACACAGGCGCGCATCAGCGCGAAGAATCACAACGTTCTCCCGTCCCTGCCTCCTCTTCCGCCTCTTTCGCGGGCCGATGTCACAGCCCAATCACGTCCGGAGACGCCCAAACAGGATCGCGCACCAAAGGAAGGCGACCTGACATCTCTCAACGCCTCCGTTGAGGAGTGGCTCCGCAACACGCCGACTGGCAGCTTGGGGCTTGGACCCGGCAGCCGACGAAGCAGTGGTAGCGTTGCCCGACGGGACGGCGGCACACCGGGCGAAACAACGACACGCAACAACAACTTGTCTACTATCAACACTGCCGGCGACAATAATAGAGAGCAGCTTACGAAACCAGTCAAGCCTACTGGAATCTATGCCAAGAATTCCGTGTACTGCGGTCGTGCCCTTGCAGAATGGGCTCAGGTGGTTTCTGAATGCAATATTTTTACCGAAAGACGCCAGGACGATGGTGTTGAGCTACTGGCCGATATCGAAGTGCCTCACCTCGGGGTGGACGGATTCCGCCGCGGGTAAACAAACAAAACAAGTCGCCATCTAGGTGACGGTGGTTACGGATGTTGATGGGGCAGGGAAAACTCGCCCTTTCTTGTACTCATTATGCCTGTTGTGAATGAACAGCATACAGTCTACAGGATTGATTACAAAAAGTTTCTTTTTAAATTTTCCATTTGGTCATATATCGGGGCGTTCCGGACGATTGGGGGTTTTTACACCAGCCGAGACTGGTTTTGGATGTTATTCTATTCGACTATATCGATTGCTTTCTGGCACTCATCATCTTGGCATGTTCTGATTGAGCTTGGCTCTGCATTCTGTTTGTTTTTATTATTTGATTTGTTTTGCGTGCCTTGGCACAAGAAGCACACACAGCACAGCGCATATATTACCCAAATGGGCTTGGACTAGATACCCAGAATGAACGCAATGGATGATTTGACATGCAGTGCATTGGCGATGCTGCCCCCTGGCATGTGATGTTTCTTTATAAGTAGGTCGATGGACCGTGATGTGTACAGTAGGTGTAGTAATCTGGCGACATCAGTACGAAACAGTTGGCCACATGGCACCGGCCATGGCGTCATGACATCCAGCTATCTAACCCGCACTGCGCTGCGAGACATCCATATCACGTCTAAAAGCAACAATTCCGACTCAACAAGTTGGGCGCGATCTCGAATATGAACCGTCTCAATGTCACTGTGCGCGACAACAGTCCAACCTAAACTTCCTAATTCGGCCGCCTCTTCCATTCTGAGTGGCCAGCCGTGCCAGTCCCACAGTCCCCAGGCCGACCGGCCCCTCAGCTATCACCCACCCCGCTTTACACCTGACTAACGAGAATGTTGTCTGACAGTCAGCCGCCATTTGTGTTCACGCCCTCTCCAGGACATGCTCTTGGGCCTCTTGTTTTTTTATTTGGTCATTCTAGCCTCTGTCTCTCCTAGATTCACATCCTTCAACGCCTGTTGACTCAAGTCGGCCCCTTTGTTTTCCGACTGCCCACATCCGTCCCCCCTGTTGTATGTACACCGAGAAACGCGATGCCTCACTATTCAGAAAAGAATCTATTCCCCATGCAAGGCGGCTGCCCATGCGGCCACGTTCGCTACCAAGTCAAGCAGGCGCCGCTGCTCGTGCACTGCTGCCATTGCACCTCTTGCCAGCGTGAGCTCGGCACCGCCTTTGCCGTCAACGCCATCGTCGAGTCGGACCGGCTGGAGCTCCTCCCGTCTGCGCAGCCTGCTGTCCCCGGATCCAAGGGCGCGCTGGGGGGCGCTGCATTGACCGGCTTCAACGCGACGTTTGCACGGCTGACTTTGTCTGATGCCACTTGCGGGCCCGTCGGGGCAAAGACTGAGGACGCCGAGCTCCAGGCCACTGCAAAGGCGGACGCGGACGCAAACGCCTCCAGGGACAGGGACAGGGAAACCGGCACGGTCGAGCTAGTTACTCTCCCGACTGAGTCGACTGTTGGGTTGACGGTTGCGCAGTGTTGCGTCTGCCACTCTGGCCTTTGGGCTCACTATGCTGATGGGGGTCCTTACACGACGTATCTTCGGGTTGGGACCCTCGATGCCGCGCATGAGATTGATCCCGATGTTCACATTTTCACGCGCTCCAAGAGGGATTTTGTGGGGTTGGTGGATGGAAAGCCTCGGTTTGAGGCGTATTACAAGACGAGGGAGGACTTTATCCGTGACGACTGCAAGGGCCGGTATGCTGCGCTGGAAGAGAAGACGGGTGCGTACATGGCGGAGTTGAGGGCCTCATTGGGCGAGTAGCGTTGGCTTGGGGGTATGATTTGGCTGTGAATCCGTACGTTTTGTGAGATTTGCTTGTGTACTGGGGGACTTGAGTATGTGATGTGTTTATATTATAGTGTCATCATTGTTGTAGCCTTGTGTCCCGCTTCGTCTCCACGAGCTCCCTTTAGAAGATGAGAGTTTTAAGGCACGTCGCGTTTAGTGGCGCCACTCGAACGACGCGAGATTGTATTAGTTGAATGAGAAACGGTGGTTGGATAGAGGTATTATTACGTGTATACTACACAAACCAGTGACTGGATGAGTTTGCGGCAACCGACTCCGTCTGGCTTTTGGTGCTGTCGTCCCCAGAAGCACAGACATGACATGCGAGTTGCATGGTTGCAAACATGTCATTTTATTTATGCATGCTGTGGTTATTACCGTGATTTATGTGACCAGTCGCTCTCGCCTCACGCGTGGAGATTTAGCTGGCATAACCGGGGAGCACTACATCATTTTCTGGGTCAACACCTCCATTTGCACCACCAGATATGATGTTTCAGTTCGATTAAAGGGTACGCTGGCTGGGGTTGAGTGCTTTGAGTAGGCTGGTTTGCATGAGAGCGCCAAGCATTATCACTGCCGCGTACTTAAGTAGGCTGTTGTGGTGGTCATGGCGATGTGTTTGCTGTTGTGGACATAGGTCGACTTGTATACCTTGGTAGGACAACGATTGATAAAAGAGGAAAAAAGACTCTAGATGCTTATAATATTCGTTTTGATTCTTCTCCATCTTGTCCTGACAAACTTGAGGAAGAAGCGACTGGAAACAAGTGCCACCTCACACCATGACGCCCAGTCGGATTCCAAGGTCAACGTCATGTTTGGTACATGTGAATGAGTAACCACCATGGACATTATGGAGGTATAGAAATTTGATATTTATTGACAAGAAATAGGAATGAAGCATCTGTTTTAGTAGCTTGGAGGCTGGGACATATAACGCCGATTGGGCCCAGCCGTATTGTGGCCTTCAAGCAAGATGACGACTCTGCATGCCTGGCTAACAACCCCGAATGAGCTGGCAGTAGCTTCCTTGGACGAGGTAAGCGTGATAGTATGAGCCTGCCGGCGCAAAACTCGAATCAAGCAGCTCAAACAGACTCTTGGTGAGATGCTACAGCGAATGCGAGAGGCGATTTGCCCTTGAATGTAAAGAAAGGATGACAATGGCTTGACGCGAGTCTGGCAAAGCACCATTGAAAGGGGAAATTGCTGCCTGGCGCTCAATACATGCACGGCACTCTTGCGGGGCCCTGCACTGGCGAAGCAATTGGCGCTGTTCTGACGACAGCCGCTCAAGGGCCGAGGGTGGACGATGGATGATGGCTGGGGGCTGTCAACGGTTGGACCAGGCTGTATTTAACCAGTGTTCAGCCAAGTGGGCACCTGACTAAAAGCTGTTGTGGCTTCAATGTTGGTACTTAGTACTTTTAGCGTAAAGTACCCGACTGTCATGGCGCGATGCCGTAAGATCAATTGATGCTGCCTGGTCTGGTGGTATATAGTGCTGGTACTTAGATACAGTGGGTGTACCTGGTGATGGGGCCAGTCCGCAGTGCCATGCAGTGTACTCCGTACCGGACCCCTCCAAACAGCATCTCCAGTCTGCGTTGGACATCGAATGCACTTTCCGTTTGCCTCATGCCTCTCCACCAGCAGGGTCATCGACATTGACATTGAGGGTCGCGGTTATTTCAATTTGCACAGCGACAAAACCACCAAAAGGCTAACCGAGCTCTGCCGGGCGCCGCCACTATGCCCAACACTGGAAGGCCCAGCCAGGACTGTCACCTGTGTCGTCAAAGACGTGTCAAGGTTAGTTGGTGGTGGTGACATCAGCCCTGCTTGACGCAGACCGCCTCAAACGCAGCACCATCCATCAACACCACGCGGACGGCCTACAATACAGCCGCTAACCCTCTCTTACAGTGCGATCTCGGACGACCCGGCTGCCAGCGGTGCGTCAAATACCGCGTGGAATGTCCAGGATACAGAGATCAACACGACCTGGTCTTTCGCAATGCCAACCCATCGACTGTCAAGAAGCGCAGGAAACGAGCGACGGCCAAGGAAGGAGATCAAGATGATTCTAAAAGCCCCTCACCGGCTGGCACCAGATCGAGCACGCCGGCTTCCCTTGTTAGCAACGGGGAAGCTACCTTCACCTTCGATTCAAAAACAGAACTGCTTCCATTGCCGGGCGATACCGTCTCGACACCACTGACGACAATTTCGCGGCCCTTGACAGAGCACTGGACAAATCATTCCGTCCCAATCATTCTCAACGTATATTCGACGCTCGACTTCCTCCACAACATTTACCGAATCAATCCTCGGAACGGGCCGTTGGTCTGGGCTGCCCATCTCTTCACCCGAACCTACGTGACAAACATTCGGTACCCGGTTTCGGTATACAAGGAGTCAGAAGTGGAAAACCAACGCGAGCTGGGCACGTACTTGGGAAAGACTCTGAGCGCCGTCAACACAGCACTTAAGGAACCTGATGGTGCGTTTCGAGACGACGTGCTTGCCACAGTCTGTATCCTGGCAAATTATGAGGTTGGTGGGCAAAGACTATTGACAATGGACGAGGACATTGTGCTGACTACAGATGCAGCTGCTGGTTGGCTCACTAGGTCGCATGGAGCTACTGAGCCCCTGGCATCTACATACAAGAGGGCTTTACAGTATACTCAAGACGAGAGGTACCGAACAACTTTTGACGGCGGAGGGGAGGACTGCGTTTTGGCCGTGTTATAACATGGTGGTAAGTCTGGCCATGGTACCCTGACTGCATTGGAATCTCACAAAACACAGCAAATCCAAGCCCTGGTCAGCAACATGGAATGCCCGCCAGAGTCAGGCGAATGGCTGGGCATCATACGAAACAACCTTTACGACGGCGAAGGTTTTACATTACACATATCAGTCTTCATCACGAAATGCACACACGTTCAAGCTACCATCCTCGATTTGCTTCTTCGTCGCGATTTCGCAGCCGCAGAAGAGCAGTACGAGTCACTTGTAGCACAGTTGGCCGAGGCCGAAAAGCACGTCAACAATTACGTCAGGACGGCGACCGACAGTACCCACGACTTGGACGTCTATATGCGCAATCTTTACTACTCGGCTATCATCAAGGGCTACAGCTATCTCCTGATGTTGGCCAACTTCCTGACGCACTACGCACCTTGCAGGATAACACTGCATCAGCTTCGAGCACAGCGCACTCACTGCCTTCAAATGGTTCGAGCGGCCGGGCAATTTATAGTCGATAGTGTTCCATATTCACTAGGCCCTCTGGCGGCCGGCAAGGACAAGTCGCCAAAGGTGTTATTTGACGCCCTGAAGATGGTTTGGCCACTCACAGCTGTTTATATTGTCGGGGCTACCCTTGCAGAACAAAAGAGCGAGGCTGAAGCTGCGCTACTTTTCATTGGAAGAGAAGTTGGAGTCAGACAAGCGCTCAATACGTACCCGGGGAAGCTACTGCTTCCGCTTGAGGCCCGCCATCCGCTTGGATTGGCTCCCGACGACGATCCTACACCGCCCTTTACAGACAGATAGCCTGGGACATGGTCTCGACCGGAGGAAACGGCGATGCATAATTTCGTGTGTGGTGTTTCCATGTCGAATGGGTAGCCCAGGCGTCTCTATTGCAGTGTGTGTGCTCCAGCAAATAACACTTCACAACTTACGACACGCCTCGGTAGCTGGAACGAATATTGTTCAAGTGCGGCGTTTTTTTTTTTTTTTTTTTTTTTTTTTTTTAGATATAGCCATGACTGTAATTTTGAAGCAGGAAGAAGGAAGGGTCTTGGGAGAGTCAGGACTTGAAAGTGTTTCTCGTATAAATAACGGACGCTGTCGCATTTGATGCAGGACAGGGTCAGGCAAGGAATCAGCAAAGGAATATGGGACTACATCTAGTATCCTTGCGGACCCAACCCATCGTATCTTGCCTACGATACATGCTTGTCGATTTCGTGGAACTCGTGAAGTGTAAGTTTTATGACCTGACCTGTCTAAAATCGCTCGGCAGTTGCATAGATACTAACGGAGGGAGCGAAGCGTCATTAGAGTCTTGTCTCAATCGCGCTCTCAAAGCCCAGAAACCAATTCCACTTTGTCAAGCGAGAACTTTCACTTCCCGTCGGTCTGTCTCGCCTCAAATCCATGGGCTTATTGGCGCTGCAAATGAACTCGGGGCACGGGCCAAACTCCGCAAGAAACATCGCTCGACTGACATGTCCGGCTTGTTCAACCTCGAGGGAGGGAGCAGATCTGGCTTGTTGAAGGGCTGGGCAGGCTGGAGCCGTCCACTTCTTACCCATCTTGGTGCTCATCATCACCACAAGTTGTGGCAAAGCCGATTTTCCGTTAGGGTCCTGCCAAGCGTGGAGACCACTCCATACCGGATTGATTTCAGGATATGGATTTCTAAATGGCAGACTTCAGTTTGCTATTGGGGAGTGGAGGAGAAGAGGAGATTGACGTAACGACTTGAACTAACAAAGGTTGGCGCGGCAGGAGTTGGATACTGTCTTGCCTCTGTACCGGCTAACGCGGTCAGATGGACATGTCGGACTGATGTCATTCAGTAATACTAATGCCATGCTCTCTAGGCCATTTCAACATGGGATTTACATGACAGTGCGACCTGGTTGTTTTGCCGACGTCGTGGCGCTTACTGCATTACGCTAAAGAAAGCAAAAGACGGCTGTGGAGATGCAGAACGATGGACACCAGGCTCAAGCAATGGGTCTATGGACTGGAAGGACAAGGGCCGACTGGCGACACACGAGAGCAAAAAACAATGCCGTACTACTCCGTACAATAGTCCAGCTACACAGAACCGTGCCGCCACCTTCACCAGGATCTAGTCTTGGCCGTGCTGACAAGCGTCTTGGTGGAAGGCCCAAGGCGACGCTGCGAACACGAGGTTTCTCGACAGCTTGCCCCATTTCTTCCCAGGCGGGAATTTAGAATTTTTCTGCTGGTCAAGACTTTGTCGATCGCATAGTACGTGTACCCGACTCTGGCCTCGTGGGCGTTCTGCGCACAAGCACGAGGAGGACCCTTCGCGCCAAGCCTCACAAAAACCCGCGTCTCGTATCCGCCTTTGAAACGCATGCACAATGGGCTTTCCCTCCCAGGCTAGGGTCCCCGGTCCTCGCCCGAGTGAGGTCATTGTGCAAGAGCTTGGATCCAGAGAGAGACATCTGAAGTCGCAACCAACATCAACGATCTAATTGCTAGTCGATGCCACATAGCAATTGAACGTTGCAATCGGTCCAACTGCAGAGTTATCCTCCGAGCACTTTTCCAGGATGGGTAGCGACTCGCGAACCTTGGAGAGTGGATACGCAGATCAAGTTGTTTGATTCCCATTCCTCTTATCCCTCCTAGTTGGGAAATCGAAAATGATCTACTACCGAGTGGTCCATATTATTGGACCGAACGGTGCCAGTGCCAGTGCCAGTGCCAGTGAGGAACAATGCTGAGCATTTTCGCCAATCTTCCGACTGGGATGCTCACGCCAATCCTCTTGGCCATCGCGCCGTTCCCTTACTAGTCCCTCCTCAATGGAGCAACTGGAGGGATGGGGGCATCCGACGGCATTACTAGTGGCCGAGGAACGAACATTGAAACCCCAGGCCCAGGGCTGGTGATGGCGTTGATGGGCGGCCCAGAGCTGAAATGGGTATTTATCTGTGACACCACCAGTTTTCTTCGCCGACGACGTGCTACCCTCTGTTAATTCTTTGTTTCGCCATATGTGCACGCTTTCTGTATCATCTGCTCTGGGGACTTTCCTTTTCACCCATCCTTACTTTTCAACAATAACCTCTTTTGGTCTGTAGTGACGACTCCCCTCGGGCGCCGTTTTTGACATCTTCGCTTTTCCACCATCCTTGAATACGGGCACGGCCGTCTGTCCAGCTTTGTTGGAACGGACCAAGTCTCCCTTGACTTTACAAAATCTTTGCAAAAGGATAGTCATTTCTGTCCATACAACACCTCAGCATCAATGGCTTCTTTCGCCTCTCCGGTCGCCACTGGCACCCATCTTCAAGTTCCCGGCGCCACCTCCTCAGTCCCCGTGCGACCCAAGTTCAACTCTCACCTCACTTCGGATCGTCTTCGTGAAGGTGCCGGGCTCTATCTACCGCGTCTTTTCCAAGCACCCAGCAGCAATATTCGCAAGGGACGCATCTCTGTCTTCAAAGAGACGGGCCTCGACGACTTGACTGCTTCCCAAGTTCCTGTTGCTGACAAATTCCTGGCTGTTGGCACTGCGGTTCGGGATCGCTCGTAACACTCGGACGATGTCGTTTTCCATTCTTTCAGCTGAGATGGTGTCACAGCGCCGCACCATTGATATTCTGCACAGAGGAAAATGAACGAGGAATGACTGGCCATTCACGTAGCTGCAGGGCGGCTTGTGAACTGGACTTCACCCTCGTTTCATATTTTCATTTGCTGTTTACATGCGAGCAAGCTTTACCAAAATACGGTCTTCATTTCGCTCTACTTTCAGGCATTTACAACTTTATGCATTGTTTGCTGCACACCATATACTACTACTATTACTACTTGCTTAATATTTAATATCAGGATAGAAGATTTGCGATGGAATGAAATAATTGAAAGTGGAAGGGCAGTAGGCCGAGTACATACATATACCCTGTTTGCTTCGCAAACATCATTCGCTACGGCATTTGTATTTTAGACGATCAAAAAAGAATCAACAGCATATCATCAGACTCATCCAGTTGTCGAGTTGCGTACCTTGGCATGCCGTCCTGGCTCTTCATGGCATCTGTTTCGGCATAGTGAACGGCATCATCCAGCGAAAACATACCGAGAGTACCTCGGCGAATTTATACTGTATACGCCATGCGAGACGAGCGAAACGGACGAACCAGTTGGCATTATCCACTATCCACACCAAAACTACCCAGGAAGCGAAGCTCAATGCCTCTGCTACATGCAGCACAGGCGAGCAAGCTAGTCAGTACTCAATTGCTTCATAGCCATCACTTTGTCCAAGCACTCAGACAGCACAATCAATGGCCAAAGCAAACTTGATTCATTATCATACAAAGCACACCTCTTGTGTAAAGAAAGCTTCAAAGATTATCATCCATCCATCTGCTGCAGTCCATCGACTAGACCATCACATTTCTCGTCCGTAAACGCCAGTTTACAAGTAGTACGATTTTGCTCTTGTGATTTTGCTCCTTCATGCCTCCCGCGGCGGCGGGACACCGGGCTGCCTTGAAAATTTTTATTCCCTCCTTGGGTATTCTACTCGTCCTCGCCAATCTGTGAAATACCCACGGGTCAGCATCATTCTCAAACAAAACGCCGTTTTGAAGCAAGACATACCTTGGGCGCCAGGTAGAAGCGCAGATAACTGCTACCAGATACAAGGTACTCGACCAACAGGGGCACCTCGCTCGACAGGCAAATCTTGACCGTGGGCGACAGCGGGGCGGCCTTGCAAAAGTTGACGAGGTACTTGAGAGAAAAGGTCAGGGACACGGGCTCGACGAGGTCAATCTTGATATCCATATCGGGCTTATCGGTGTTGGTAGTGCTTCGGAGGGTGACGGAACCGTTGCCAATGTCGCCGTTGCAGGCAAATTTGATGCCGTCCTTGCTGGCCTCGATGCTGACTGCACACACACGCGCGCATGAGCGCGCATTGTTAGCGAGACGTATTCTCTCATATTATATCAAGCAAGGGACAAAGGGCGGGGGGGGCAACACGCACCAGACTCAGACATGGCAGCGAGATCGGTGCAGATTCGTCGAAACTCGGCGGAGGGCAGTTCAATGGTGGCAGCGTACTCAGTGTTCGGAATGCCCAGATGCTCCTGGTCAATATCCATGAGTTTGAGGTCATACTCGCTGATTCTGTCGTTTGAGCTGCTCTCAAACATCAAGTTCAGGACGTCGGGGGCATCCTCGGCCTTGATGGTGAGTACATCTTCGTTCTGGGCGGCGCGCAACACTTTGGTCAGGGACGTCAGGTTCACGCCGAGGGCAATGTTCCGGTCGCATCGGTAGGGCTCGAAGGAATCGCGCATTAGCATCATGGAGACGAGGGCCACGTGAGAGTTGTCCATGGCCTGCAGGGCGATGCCCGAGTCATTGCAGTCAAAGTTGCAGTCCTGGACGAGGTCCTTGATGGCCTCGACGACCTGATGGAACGTTAGTGAGAGCAACGACGACACGGCAGAGCGTGAATCAGAATGTACCCTTTTCAGGATATTAGCTTGTTTGAGTCGTGCTTCCAACATCTCTGCCAGACCGTTAGTAACGATGCTAGTCCCGTCGAAATCGCGTGATTCAACGTACTGTCTCGAATATGTGAGTGTAAGAGCGGGGAAAGAGATTCGGGGCGGTGAGGGTGTGCCGCCAAGTCAATATTCAAACGAGGGCGAAAGAGATTTGAGAGGTAATTCGTGAGAAACCCTAATTGCGATATCACAGAAATGGGTTACAGAAATCGAGTCAAAGTCAAGTGTGAGAGAGAAGAAGCAAAAGCGTGCAGGACGTGGCAAGCGGGCACTCAAAAATCACTTAACACGCGAGGGAAGTTGTGGGTAAATTGAGACGCGTCGTGGCGGGGCTCCTGTGTCGACTGTGTCGAATGGAGCTCGCACTCGGTTGTGACGCCAACATTGCGCGGGGCATTTGCCCAGACGTGTTGGCTCTTGGACCCGGAGCAGCGTCAACGACCGACTAGTCCTTGTTTAACCTCGTCCGGCTTAATCTTCTAAAATACAGAGTAAATAAAGCATGCCGCTATACATGTAGACAAAGTAGATACAGCCCATTAATATGGCTGGCGACGGCCGCAGGTTTTACACAGTCAACCCGCAGCAAAACTAGCCCTTTTTCGTGAAGCAGAATATTTCATCGACATTACAGGGAGAGAAGAAAGAAGAAAAGAAAACTATTTGCAGAGAACGTATCAACCAGCCTGACACCTATCCTGAAACGCTATCCATGGAAGCCCTGACATTGCCAACTTGCGCCTAGATTATGCCTGTGTACCGTTTGCCCAGACGATGCAAAATGAGAGATAGAAAGAGAGGAAGAGAGATAAAAGTCCACAGTCATCCATTTACAGCCGCTACATGCTGTTTACATGGAGATAACTCGGTTTGCTGGAGGGGCGCTAGCACGGGTCTTGGGCCGCAAGTTGATAACCGTCTCCAGCTCGCGGAGCATGCCCCTGGTGGCATCCATCTGTTTCCGAGCCTGTGCCTTTTGGTCGCGCTCTTCCTTCATCTTGACAATTCGTTCTTCTCTGGTAAGTGAGCTCTTTGGTCGTGGGTGTGCCACAGCCTCGAAAACCTCGGGCGTCTCTGGCTCACTCGGCTCATTCACGTCTGAAGCGGGCGGTGATTCGCCCGTCAGAGCCTTGAGGGCATCTGCCGCGGTGCCTTCACCAACCGTCGTCAGGCCGCTGAGGGAGCTCCTAGGAGACAAGAGCGTGCTCATAGATGACAGTCTCTTTTCGTTTCTATCGATTCCCAGAGCCAGAGCAGCCTTGCCCTCCTCCCACGCAGACATGAGTTCCTTGAGGTCTGCCCCAATGGATTCATATTGCGACATCAAGTTTGGCGCTAGTTCCGAAATATCGTTGGAGTCGTCTAGCGCGCGATCGGATTCTTCTCTCAGCAGGTGCAGCTTGGCCTGCAAGCCTCGGATGCCCGTTGACATCGAGTTTAATTTGCGCAACTGGGAGCGCCAGCGTTCCCTGCCCGGCGTTAAGGGACCCTTGGGAGTAGGAGGGTTAGGGAATGCTAGACAGATCAGTAAACACCTTTCTTCTAAAGTAGGAGATTGATGGGCCGCATAGTACTTACATTCAGCTTCCCTCAAGATGCCCTGGAGCTTTTGGAACGCAGCCTGCGTGGTTTTGTTGAGGTTCCGAAGCACTTCGACCGCCGTTGTCCACCGGAGCAGGTCGGATCCCTCGCCGTTGGCATCCAGGGCCAACAAGGCACACAGAAGCATTTTGCGTGTGGTGTGAAACCGTGCAGCTAGAATCTTCAGTGTCCGGAGTGACTCGGCGTCATCAAACTCGCCCTCGGTAAATCCTTGCAGAGCATCAGACATGTCCAAGTCGTTGATGTCGTACATGTCATAGTACTTTTCCAGCTCTGTTTGCTCGGAAAAGCCCTGGACCAGATTCGCCATTTGCATATAGGCATCCAAGACATCTGCAAATGAACTCTTTAGTGCCCTTCGTAGGCGAACGCATTTTCTGGCCTGGTTGCGATCCTCTAGTCTGGTAATTGGGGGCAATGGGGCGCTGCTATCAAAATGGTTAGCACCATGTGATGAAGACCCGAAAGAAAGAAAAATACAAAGGAGGGGGGAGAGTGTGTGAGAGAAAGAGAAAGAGAAAGAGAAAGAGAAAGAGAAAGAGAAAGAGAATAGCAAGCATGAACCGGCGGCTGCGTACATTCGATAACCACGAGAAACAAGCTCTACTTCCTGGACAAGCGACAATGTAGCTTCCGATGCGCTATCAAAATCGTTGGAATTGGAAACAAAGGTGGCAATCTCGGCCAAGGATTGCATTCGTCTGTAGCGAAGCCACTGCCGTCGCATGTATATCTGACCAAGAAAGGCTGCGGCCGCACACAAAACCAGGAGAAATGCCAGCCGTTTCCGCGTGACATACGAGGGCGCGTTTCCAAGAACCCAGCTTAGAACAACGGCAATGGCAAGGGCGCCGAGAATGGAAGCAAGCATCCCCTCTGTCGACAAAAGCGGTTGGTTGTGCTTATCGTCGCTGTTCGCTCCGGGCACGCTGGGGGCAGCTGGTCGATGACCCAGGATCGAGGTCCCGCTTAGCAACTGCGACGCGATGATGGTGTAGCGAAATTGCTCGAGAAATTTGGAATTGTCGGCGCGATCGAGGCTCGCCACCACGGCAGCCTATGGAAGGAAATTTTGTCAGTTGGAAAGGAGCAGGTTTCACGATATACCCTCTGCGCTTTGCGAGAAGAGTTTGGCCGTACCGAGCAGTTCCTCCTCATAGATTGCAGCCTTGTTGCCCCGAGGGCCCTGGGCACGTCCGTCTGCAAGAGGGCCGGGGCTTTGCCTCGAAATCTCGATTTCACCATCGGTCGACCTGTAGGGGCAAACGGCGAGGGACTTGGCGGCGGCGACGAGTCGAACTCTGGCGAGGAAGGCCGTGGTGAGGCATTGACGGCGGCCCAGTCAGCCTCAGAACCGCTTCCCCCATCTACATTTCCGCATGCTGGCGTTAGAACAAGACTGTATAAGGCTGGATGAGGTTGGATGGCCGGCTTACCTTTGAGGTAGTCGGCTAGAGGCGACTCCTCATACACAATGGGTTCCATGTAGCGACTCTTGTGGTGCGGAGTGGGAGAATGACGGAATGACGTCGCAGAAGCGGTGACATGCACGGCATTGGAAGCACGAGGAATGCGCCCCAAGCCAGGTGAGGAAGTGCTTATTGCCGGAAGAATTGAGAAGAAAAAAGAAAAAGCAACGAGAGTAATCGGTAAAGGGTTGTCAAGTTGCGTGCTCTACAATACAGCGTGTCCCAATGACAAGCTGACTGGAGCAACGCAAGTCGACAAAATTATTCAGGGGACGTTGCCCCGAGATGGACGACAAGTAACCATTGGGTTCATATCCATGATCGCAGGCACGGACGGGGGGGGGCCTCCTTCCCTGGTGGTGTTTGTGGCTATGCCCGGAACGGCAGCGCCGTGCTTTGAACATTGGAGCTCCGGCCATTGACGGCCAACTCGTGTCTGCTGCATGCATGCTGAAGCTTGGTCAAGTGTTTCGGCAGCAGCGCGACAGGGATCATTCACTAAACTACAGGGGCCCATCGCCTATGTCGACCACCAGTGGCACCAGACTGCAAGGCTAAATCCCTGGTCAATTTTGACATGATGCATGTGCCAATTTCGCCCATCTCCGCAAACAATGCGCCCAGAATCATGGCAAACAAAGGAGGAAAAAAAGAAAAAAAAAAATCCAACACAGGGGCGCACATGCCAGGCACCTGTTTCTTCAACGACAAAAGATGGCCATGCACAGTACTCCGTACACCGAAGTAGAGGAGGTGGCCCGTTTGCTCAAAGAGACCCTGGTAGGATCGTCAGCCATGCCGAGGAACGTTCAAAGATCAAGTGTGATTTCCCCACACCAGATCGTCAACCCTTGCGTTTCACGGGAGGGACACACCCGAGAGCAAACATGCACATTGAGTTTGAATTAGACTTTGTAGCTCTTCGTTGGTCACGCGGCGCGCGTCGTATGTCGCTAGGACGTCGTGTGAAGCCGCCACAAGACTTGAGCGTTGTCAAGGTATTCAACATAAGTGGCGGATGCCTTTAATCAAGCTGATCCTTTTGCATTACAGTTCACGCTGCCACCATGCCGACACCCACGTGTACTCCGAACGGTGTTATCCTTTTCGCTAATGATAGAGAGCCCAAATATCGTCTCTTACGTCTCTTTGCCCACGCCGAGGTGTGACAGAAACTCGTATAGCGGGTTGGCGTTTATGGAGAGGCGAGGGAGCTTGGCTTCGACCTAGGACTCTCTGGTCTGGGAAAGACTGGAGGACGACAAGCTGAGTGGCCAAGTCTAGGCAGTAATTGTTAGGATATCTACCATGCTGTTGTCCGATGCTCGTTGTAAGTGAGGTTTTTAACGGCGATAGACGTCGAAAACCAGATAGCATCATCTTGGAATAAGGTGGATGAGAACAAGAGACACGTGTTGTGAAACTGGCCGCCGTATGGCGCCTAGGATAGCACGACAACGACATTGATTATCAATATTCCAGGAACGTGGTATGCCGTGATGTCGTTACTCTAAGCTTTGCCATTCAAACTTGAAGAATGGTGGGACACAACAGCTTTGCACATCGTCGGATCTGAGTTGCCTGTAGGCCATCGATTCCTTGACCGATTTTGTCATGACTGTCCGCGATTGACTTCTCGCTGGACCATTTTCTCGGACGTGACGAGGAGTGTTCAGCGTTCTTGGAACTGCCTTGTTCATCGCTTTATCATGTGAAGCTACAAGGTTCTCCGCCCGTAGTAAATCAAGGTTATGAATGCTCCATCCAAAGTAATTGCGGCTTTGTTGAAAGAGCCGGATAGTGATGAAGCGTCAACGTTGGCGATAACTCAATCATCATGGGTCCTGCAGCGTCATAGTCGGTTTTCCACATTTTGCGACGCTGAGAATTACTTCATCGAATAATAAGTCTTCAATTTTGGCACGCATTCGGCCGTGCTTCTGTCTAGACGAGAGGTATCCTGTTTCGAGGCGAACGACGAATGATGAGGTTAGCATGGAGATTATTGCAGTAGAAAGACACCGCTGGGGCCAGAATCGCTGGTGGTGACCCCAGGGCCCACACACACTCCGTACATAGATGGACACGGAATATTAGCTTTGCCGATCGCCGAAGATCAATGCAGCACCGGATCACAGAGCTTCAGCAACAGCAAAGCAACACCACGGCAAGCTGGTGTACAGCTTCGCCGATCCTTGAACGCAATTCCCCAATCGATCCGGCCCAATGCCTACGCGGTCGCCGGCGAAAGGGCACTCGCCCGCCATTGTGTCCAACATTGGCATCTGGGTTACCGACGCCATGCTTCTGCACGCAGTTGAGCGATACCAGCGAGGTGTCGTGGCATCATGTCGACGGATTCATTCCCACGCAGGGCCTCTCGAGAGCCGTCGTCGAGCTACGAGGCGACACATGACCGGCCTCATGCCGACTTCTCACCCTTACCCCCCCATCTGGCAATTTGGTGTTGGCCCCAGCTCCATGGAGTGGGAGGCCCCGACTACACAACAACACAGAAGACAAAAACGTGAGCAGATTAGCGTGTCAAACATGTTCAACAACTTAATTGGCTGGCTCGAAAACGTGGGCTCTACCGACAGGCCATTCATTTCACCCCCCAGTCAGCGATTCGAGGCGGGAGCCGTCTCTGCTGAGGCTCTGGCAATCAACCCAGCAGTCGAGGCTGTCGATGTTCCCGGCCCGATGTTACAAGAACCCACGTCATTGCAGCATCTCCCCGAGGAAATTATCAAGTTACGGTCCAGCATCTTCGGTTTTGACATTGTCGACAACAAGACCTTGTTCAAACTGACAAAAACATGTCGACAGTCTCTTCGCCGTCGGGTTGAGCGTGGAGACTTGTCTGTCGAGGCTCTGTTGGCAGCCTTGGAACCGCTGGATTCGGCCTCAAAAAGTCGCATCCCAACCGCAGAAATGGTGAATAAACTACGCGCCATGATTCGGCGCTCGATCCTGTATGCCATGGTGGACGCGGAAAAGCAAACTCCCCGGTCTATTTCCCCTGACCTCTGGTTGGCATTCGTAGGCAGGGTGTGTGCTAGCAATGGCGACAACCATGATATCCAACTCTTCTGGAGGCTAATGGCCGCTGTGCCTAGCTCAGTTGGAGAACGAATACTGCCCGAGCAAATACGCAACCTAGCGATTGCCTTTGTCACAGCCCAAGCCAACCGACACAACCTCTTTGGTCACTGGTCAGCTCGGGCTGCTAGGTTTGGTCAATCCTTGGAATCACTAAACGCCAGTCAACGCCAGGAGCTTGACGACGGCATGATAAAATTTCTCCTTCAACAGGATTGGATTTCCGAAAGAGCCCGACGGATGCGGTTTTCCTGGCTAGTGATCAAATCTTACGACAATCAAACGACCACCAATGAATTTATTCAGACCGTTCATGCCTGCAGCGGCAAAGAGCTCCAGTTACACGTTGTGCAGCTGTGGCAGGTCCTCGCCGCTCGACTTCATGCTATCGGAGCGTTGGATAACGAGGCGCACAAGCAGGTGCTGCAAGACGGCCACAACACCTCCATGAGCCAGCGGTGGACTTCGCTAGTGGCTGCTCTCATGACATCAAGCAACAGAAATTCGGCACTGCAGGAACTATGCACTATTTTGACCGAAATGGGTCAGTTCGACGCCGTGGTGCATGCCCTGACGGGCAAGCCTGTGCACCTTTTGCGACGAGATGTCATGGAGGCGCTCGCGTCTGCGTGTGACAACCACCATCAAGCGCTTCAGCTTTACGACTCAATCGATCTAAGACGTCAGCCAGTTCGAAGACGACCGTTGTGGGCTTGGTCTGTATGGACCAAGTATGTTGAGCAAATGATCAAGGACCCGACTGTACAGCCCATACGTATCTGGCAGGTCCTCAACCTCACCTCCAGACAAAATGAACCAACCGTGGAAACGAAAGCCAAGTCGCAACTTTTGGACCAAATGGGCCAGTGGTTCGTCGAAGCACAGCACCTCACTGACCGCCAAGTGCTGCGCAATGTCGAGAAATGCATCTCCTTGCAGCGCCCCTTGACAGACGGTGTCTCGTCACAGATGCTCGCCAACTTGGCGGATATTATAACTCGAGATCTGGACAAGAGCCAACGGGGCCGTACTTCCCGCATGCAGTGGCTTCTGAGCATGGTAGCTCAGAATCAGGGTCAGGAACAAGCGAGCAGGACTGCGTCGGCCTTGAATGGATGGAGGGCACAAATCGAGCCGAGAGGCAGTGAGCAATTGTAAATACGTCATAGTAATAAATATCATAAGACCAACCAACCTAGGATTGAATGTACTGTCACAGTCGCATTACGCCATTGTTCACCCTCATTCTTGTATTCTGTCGTGTCCCTGTATAGAGTAGACGAGTCCTGCTGCCTCAACCACCCATAAGCGGCCCTGTTTACGACAATTGGTGAAAGAATCTGCACGAAAAACAAGCACATGTGTATTCAGCTCTCAAGCATACCAAGAACCCGAAGAAAAGTCGGTGCCTAAATTACATCACATAAATACAAGCGAGAACCAGACATCCGAAGACCATACCCAAGGACGGAGTCGCAGTGACACATTAAACCAAATGTAATACCCAAAAACACAGCATGAGAAAAAAAAGTTAGAAAAAAAAGTTTGAAAAGAGAAAAGGAAAGAAAAAATAAAGGAGCGGATATCGCAATCGAACAAAACCTTCCCATATCCCTTGTTGAGTCCATTTGACTGCCCAACACCTATATCATCATCATTGTATTGTAAGTAAAAGAAAGAAAAAATTATACCTTGGTTTGCCCCCTATATGCTTCTTTTAATGTACGTTCCCCTTCTAAAATTGCGTTCTTCATCAAGTAGACATGATTCATCATCTCACTCAAGCCAGAGTGCCCGCCCTCTTTACTGGATACCAGCCTTTTGCGGCTGACTTAGGCTTCGGGTTGCCCCATTGATTCTGTGACAAGGCTGATGCGGCTGCGTGCACCGAGAGAAGCGCCACCGGCTTCGCTTGATGGGGTGTAATGGCGTCTGCCCTTGTCATCGCGAGAGATGAGTACTTGGGCGGGACAGACGACAATCTTTTCTTCGCCGATGCCGTCGTCGTCTCCTCGTTTGACAACAAGAGGGAATAGGACTATTCGAACAACAGATCCCTGAGATTCGAGCTCCTCGTTGGTCATGTTGGTGCTGCCGCTTCGCTCATTCATCATGGCTGCATCAAAGGACACAGTGGCTGCCAGTTCACCATCTGCGTCATATTCGGGCTGCAGGGGTGGAAGCATCATGTATTCTGCTCGCTGAGTGCGCATTTCAACGGACAGGTCCACCGCTTCGTGCATGACTCTGCGAAGCTGTGATTGGATTTGGCCTTCCAGGTTGGACGGCGGGGGGAGTATTTTGCAGAGAGTCTGGTAGATGGCCTGCACAACGGCTTCGGTATCGAGGTCCCGCTGGTCCTTGAAGCTGGCTCTCTTGGAAAGGAGGGTCAACGTGACTGCTCGCCACTGGCGAACGGCCTGCGCAGGGCCGACTTCTGTCAGCAGCTTCTCCAGAGACTTGAGTTTTTGGCGCTGTTCTCGATCCATGCCAAACAGGTACCTCGTGAAGACAAACTCCCAAATCATGTTCATCGACATGGCCATGAAGATGTCCCGACGCCTGACGCGGTCCCGAAGATAGGTGTCGACATCGGTTCCATCCAAGACGGCATTGTCCAGGCGGTCAATCGTCTTCTCGTCGTTGATCTCGCTCGTGAGGCGGCAGGCGCGCATGTCAGAAAACTTGGAGAAGCGCAACACCCACTGCTGGACGTGCGAGCAGAGCTGCTGGCACCGGTGGTCGAAGTAGTCCTCGTCCTTGATGTTGAGGAACCCAGCATCGCCAGCCTTGGACTCGAGGATCTTGCGCTGCATCTGGCGGACTTGGTCCTTGGCCTCTTCCAGCTTGGCGCGCAAGTCGGCGATTTCAGCGTCCCTGTCCCGCAGCGACTGGGTAAATGTAGTGTGGGCGCCACGAGCCTCGTCCAGCTCGCGGGTCATGTCGGCATAGCGGCCACTGTCCTTGCTGGCCAGCTCTGCATTGGCGCTTGTGAGGCCCTCGTTGACCTCGGTCAGACGGGCGACCTCGTTTTGCAAAAAGTGCAGTGATTGTTTGAGAGATTCGATTTCAGAGTCGCGCTCGGAGAGGACGCTGGCGGCTTTCTGACTGAGATTCTGTTCGGCATGCGTGCGGGCCTCGGTTAGCATGCGGTTCTCGGCCATGAGCTGCTCGACCCTGGACTCGAGCTCGAGGACCTGCATGCTTTGGCGGCGGCGCATGCTGTGAGGGCGGGTGGGCGACCGCGGCGAGCCAATGCGGCCCTCGCCGTAGCCGTCGTAGACGTCGGCCATGTCCCTTTCCTCGCCCTTGGAGCGGACACGGCTCTCGTTGGCGACAGGCGGCGGCAGCACCTGGGAGTCAGTGGCAGTCGCAATCGCGGGCGCCGACGTAGGCGTTGATGAAGTGGAACTGGAGTTGCGTCGTTGACGAAGAGCTCGCAGGTCGCCGCTCATGCGCTTGTCAACACGCCGAAGTGGGGGGGTTGGGGTGGATCCTCTCAGCCCTTGGAGGCCGTGCAGACCTTGCAGACCTTGCAGACCTTGCAGACCAGTGATGCCTGGACTTTCAGGCCGCAACCTGAGCGGCTCAGGCGTGTGCTGCCGGGAGAGGCTGGAGTTGGACACGGACCGACGCGCGACTGGCTCGGCCCGTGAAGACAGATCCTGCCCATCCGGGCCCCTTGTTGGCGTTGCTGTTGCCGTCGCTGCAGCTGCAGCCTTTAATGATGGCAATGAGCCCGATGCGTAGATGTAGGGGTTGTCGCTGACGCTTCGCTGTCCCGCCGTAGCCTTTTCTGTCGCTGCTTTGGCTGCAAGTCCGATTCCAGCTCCTGTTGCTGCTGCTGCTACTCCAGCCGCGACGCCGCCCATCGAGGCTGCCTCGCCGTAGTCTTTTGTCTTGGTCGTCGTAGCGCTCCTCTTCGCCTTCTTGTCCTTCTTCTCTGGCTCTGGCGGAGCAACTGCCGCCTCTGGTTCTGTCAAAACAGGGGTGGCAGAGGGCGAGTGTCGTAATCTCTTCTTCGTAGACACATCGGGCGTCTGCGTCTGCGTCTGCGTCTGCATCTTGCCATCACTGTAGTCGTCTGTGTGGACTCCGCTGTCCCGTTGCTGGTCGTCTGTAGAAGTGATGCTGCGCCGCCGCCGTGGAGTCGGCGACTCGGGGGCAAAGCCGCTATCGCGGTTCATCTCCGGTGTTGGCCAGTTGTACTGGGCTGCGATTGCCTCTGCCTCGGGGACTTCTTGAACGGAAGGCAGGCCTCTTGACGGAGAACGCCTGAAGTCAGACTCTGAACCCATACTTTGTAACGTTGGCTCGGGGTCGGATCTCTCTTTAAGCAATCCACCGACTGGTTCGCCAACTCCGGCAGATCGGCGCAACAGACCTGTAGGTTCCTTTGACATCGTAAGAGCGGCCGCCTCTCCACGTCCCAGAATAGGGTTCTCTGCAAACTCGTCACTGAGCGGCACTCCATGCTGTGGTGTCTCCGTCCATCCTCCATCCGACTCTGTAAAGCTCCCGCTCATTGTCCCAGGCAGAACATGCTTCAGTTCTCTGGTATTGGCAACTTCTAGCATCCCCACGCCCTTGGCCACTTCTTTGTCCTTGTTCCCTTCCTCCTCCTCGTCTGCCGCTCCGCCCCAGAAATTCTCGTGGAGTTCCGCATCCTTTCCATCATCCAGCGCCTTCTTATCCGCTCCCTCCCACAAGGCAGGGTCATCAAACATGTCATCGTCCTGTGGCTGTCTCTTGTCCACAATCTTCTTCTGCTTCCCCTTTGTCTTCTTCTTGCCACCTCCAAACTTCTCAGCCAGTACAGCTACACCCCCAGCGATTGCGCCCGCCGTTGCTAGTGCGTCAGTCGTGGATAGACCTGGTTGACTCTTGGCTTTGTTATCCTTGACTTGGTCGCCGAGATTTCGGGACAATGTATTCTCTCCAGCGTGGCGGTCGCTACTTGCTGGCCCAGTAGCATCTCTGCTCGAAACATCATCCGCACACGCAATATTCTTGCCCGTTGCCGTTTCTTCAAATGATTGAAGAGCTTTTTTCTCAACAGACCCAGCAGGGGCTTCTGCAGCAGCCTTCTTGCCTTTCTTCTTCTTGGATTTGGGCACAGAAAAGTCATCTGGCCATTCATCATCGGCAGCCTCTTCCGGTTGTGCCTCGGCTGCAGTAAACGATAGGTCCTTCTCTTCCACAACAGGATCGTTTAGAGGGGCATCCAGCACAACTTGGCTTGACTTGCGTTTCTTCTCTTTCTTGGACTTCTTTTTGACCGGCACTGCCCAGGTTTCATTCGGTTCGGCCTCTGTTGTGACTGTTGCCAGTTTTTCGGCCGCGTTTTCGGCGACAACCTCAGGTCTAGTGCCAAAATCTTGGCCCTCGGCAGAGGCTCCAAGGATATTGCCAAAACCTCTTGTCTCGGATACACCGTGTTCCCGGTTTTGATCCGCGTTCTCCGCCGAGATCGTATCTATCTCCATAGCATGGAGGCCACGATCCTCAAGTGTTCCAGCCCCTACCACCGATGTTGTATTTGGGAGTTCGTCAAAGGTAGACAAGGTCATAGAACTGTCTTCCACAGCATCCGGGAGTTTTATCGCAGCAGGCTCCTCTGTGGTAGGCTTGGGTTCTTGTTCGGGTGCCAATTGTTCGTCCCTAGGAAGTTGGACAGGGGTTTCATCAAGCGGCATTATTGGTGTCATCGTGCCACTACCGGCCTCACTCTTCTTTCCTTTCTTGTCCTTCTTTGCAACAGCGGAACCCCAGTCCTCAGCGTCATTATCATCCGTGGGATGAGGCAGCTCTTCAGGCTCAAAAGTCTTTGTGGGTTCTACAGGCTCGGCAATATTCGAAACACTGTCCACTCCAAGGGCTCGACCATGAGGCTCCATCGCCTCATTTGTGGTTGACAGGGCCTCTGACTGTAGGTCAGGTAAGACGATGCCGGACTCATTGACTGGAGTCGCCGTGGCGCTGCTTGACTTGTCTTTTTTGCCTTGCTTACTCTTCTTCTTGGAAGGCACCGCCCATTCATCATCCACTCCAACGGCAGCCGTAGTCTCTCCTTCTTTAGCTGCTAATTCAGCTTTCATTAGCTGAGTAGGCGCAAATTCGGTGATGGGGTCCATAGTCTCCGGAGCTCCCTCGTCTCCTGCTGGCTCAGCAGGGGTCATCGTCCCACTGCTTGTCTTGCTCTTCTTTCCCTTCTTCCCCTTCTTCTTCGGCCGTACGGCCCATTCGTCACCAGCGTCTTCAGGGACAGGAGGGTTTGTCTCTTTTGATAAATCGTTGTCTTCTACCGGGTCAGGTGAAGCCGCAGGGTCCGTAGAGGCTTGCAGAATTGTCGGTGTTGGTTCACGTATCGTGTCCTCCGGGGTCAATGCAGGTTCTGCAGGGGTCAATGTTCCGCTGCCCGATTTACTCTTTTTGCCCTTCTTGGCCTTTTTCTTTGAAGGAATCGCCCACTCGCCCCCTGCATCGAGTATTTCATGAACAGGGGCCTCCTCTACAGCAGGCTCCACGGCTTTCGGGGTGGCCTCTGGGATAGCCTCTGGACCTGTCTCAGCCGTTGGTGTTGGCTCGACGGTCGAAAAATCGCCAGAAGATGGTTGCTTGGACTTGCTTTTCTCACCCTTATTAACCTCCTTCGACGCGAGAAAGCTGACGTCGTCAACTTCCTGTAGAGTTCCGATAACGGGTTTTTGTTCTGCGGGAGTACTGGCTGCTTCGTCTTCCATCTCATCGGCCCATGACCTGCTTCCTTCAAACTGGACTGGTTCCTCTGCAACAAGTGAATCGTGTTCCTCCCCAAGGGTCGCTATTGTTGCAGTGATCCCGGCGGCAGCCAATGCAGTAGCAGCTAACGTGGCAGCTGCAGTTTTCTTCTGGTCCTCTTTGGACTTATTGATCGGCAACCGCTCCTCGGGCTCAGCAGTAATATCTTCTGCAATGATTGGGCTTTCAACAGGCTCGTTTAAGGAAGCAGCCACCGGGTCCGCCGGTTCCGCTGGCGTATTGTCTCCCCCAGAGGTTGTCTCCTGTGATTCATCCTCTGGCTGGTCGGCAAGGCTTACCTGCTGCTTCTTCTTCTTCCTCTTGTCTTTCTTGGATAGCTTCCTCTGTGGGGTGCTTTGCCAAGAATCGTCGGCTGCGCAGCTCTTCCCCTGATCTAGATCAATGACATGCTCAGCAGGTGATGTCGATGAAATCAGAGGTAAATCAGCCATGGCTTGGGTATCATAAACATCAACATTGTGACTAGGAAATTCCGTTGCTTCGGCTTGCTCTGCGGCACTGGAGACTAAGTCTGCTTCTCGGTCGGTTGTACTGCAATCAACCATCTCATCGGGGGTGATAGGTTGAACCGGTTCAAAAGAAGCCGCACCACTCTCAGGGACAGACTTGTCCTCGGTAGGTAGGCTAGACGAGCCAGCAGTTGGCTCATCCCAGAACATCGAGTCTACTTGGCTCTTGCGGTTTTTCTTACCCTTTTTCGCCTTCTTGCCGGTGATTGGCATTGACCATTCGTCATCAGCCGGCTCATCCACGGCCACTGGCACGTCGGGATCGCCGCTTGGCTGAGCAGATGCATCTTGGACAATAGTGCAATCTTCTGAGGTTATCGCAGCAGAACTCTCTGCAACGTCCAGGTTGGGTTGTGGGGGCTGACTATCGGGCGGCATGGACATGTCCTTGGGCTCCTGGGTTTCCTGGGTTTCCGCCTGCACGTCTGCAGTTGCTTGGTGGGACTCGAATGTGACATCACGAGGTGCTGCATCACTCACTTCAGTGACGCCAATATTCTGCGCTGTGGTTGCCGGCTCCAAGGGGTCAACTTTTTCGGCCTCTGGTCGTGCATCAGCGTCGTAGGGGTTGTCGGCGTCCTGAATCGGAGTATTTTGTGGTGGCAAGTCATCGTACTGAGAGCCCTGCTTGGCCTTCTTGTTCTTCTTCTTCTCTTTCTTTGACACCGTATCAGTCCACGAATCGTCGCCGCCAACTTCTTCCGCCTTTTTTGTCTCGGGCTCCTCGGAGACAGGTGTCTCTTCAGTAGCCCTTGAGCTCACATCAGCCTCCATATCCAACGCCCTCGCCTTCTTCTTCTTTTTCTTGTCCTTCTTCCCAATCAGCCGTTCATCATTATCTTTGGCCTCACCAACCTCCTTCTCATCCTTAACCACTTCCTCGTCGTTGGCTGCCCCCGACGAGTCACGAGGTGTTCCGGGCCCAAAGGTCGAGTCCGTAGTCCCGAAATCATTTGCTACTTCAGAACTTTCCTTTGACAAGTATTCCTGGATTGGCTCCGGGGTAAGATCCGTTGCGGGAGTGGGCTCGGTTTGCTGTGTTAGTTCAGATTCTCCATTCTTAGCCTTCTTTTTCTTCTTGTCCTTTTTAGATTGCTTTGAACTAAACCCAGCCCACATGTCCTCAGGAATGGCCTCCATTTCCTTGGTCTGATCCACGGGGACCGTTTCCATGGGCGTCTGAGCCGCAGATGCGAGCCCATCTGAAGTTTCTGCAGAGTAAGCCACGTCAGTCAAAGCTTCGGCATCCATCGCTTTTGATTCTGCGACAAATTCCGGCTCAGGACCCTGAACACTCTCCTCCAAGCCCGCCTGCTTCTTCCTCTTTTTCTTATCCTTCTTTGCAAGTTTCACAGGTACAAGATCATCCACGTTCTTCATAGAAGAGGTTTCGACAGTAGGTCCCGTGGTTTGAGCCATGTCCCTGAGGGCTTCAGGAAGCATTGTATTATCCACAGACATCATGTCAATCGGCTTGGTTTCTGCTGGAGGCTGTTCATCGGTGTTGACCATGTCAACAACATCCTTTTCTTCAGCTTGTCCTTCAGGCTCAAAAGTAGGTGTTTCCAGCGTGGCCGCATGATTGTCAGCTATTGCTTGCTTCATACTTTGGGTCGTAGCCTCAGGTGCAGTACTAGGCTCTACTTCGGTAAGTTCAGGAGAAAGAGAGTTCTTCTTTTTCTTATTCTTCTTTCCCTTCTTGGGGACTTCAAATTCAGCCTCAGGATCAGCCGCAGGAGCAGGCTCATCCACCACAATCTCTGGAGTAGTTTCAGTCTCGGTTGAAGGCTCGGTCAGGGTCGAATCCTCCTCCATCGGCTCCCCCACCATGCTCGAGCGCTTCTTCTTTTTCTTGTTCTTCTTGCCAGCGGGCTGTGGCAACTCTTCCTCGATCGTCTGTGGAGTCGAGCCAGCCGTCTGTAACTCTGGCTCTGGCTCTGGCTCTGCAGTAGACTTTGTCTCCTCGATAGAGGCAGGTTCTTCGGTGAATGGGAACGGCTCCGCCATGTTGACCGGGATTTCAGATGAAGAGTCCGTTTCTGGAGCTGAAGAGGATTTGCTGTCCTTCTTCTTCTTCTTTGACTTCTTGCCAGTGACGGTGGTGCTCTGCTTATCCTCGACCTGTTCACCAGTGGGTATCTCGGCAGGCTTGTCTTCTGAAAGGTCACGAGAAACTTCCGTGGCAACCTCCGCAACCGGCTCCTCTTTGGACTTATCAAGGGCTTCCGTCTCAGCAGACGTGGATACAGGGTCAGGGATGGCCTCCTCAGCTTGCTTCTCTTCCAGAAGATCCCAAGCACTAGCCTGACTACTCTTCTTCTTATTTTTCTTGCCTTTCTTTTTAGAAGACACAGTCTCAGCCCCAAAGTCTTCAGTATCCTCCAATGTGTTTTCCGAGATGACACTTTTCTCTGTCTGTGTTGGCTCAACACTCATAGCGCCGTCTTGCGTTGACTCTAGAGGAACTTCATCCTGCGAGAAGAGTGGTTCAGAAACTTGAGTGTCCAAAGACCGAGATTGCTTTTCGAGTTGTTGTTGCACTTCCCCAGCTCTATTGGTTGTCAGTTTCTCTAGGATCATAGCGTCTTCTGAGGCTTTGGCAGCTGGAGCAGCCTCTATAGTTTGTGACACAGGACCTGGAAATGATTCTTCCAACTGAATCGGCTTTTTCTTGTTCTTCTTATTCTTCTTCCCCTTCGTCACAGGTGCAAAATCGTCTTCAGTAGCTTCAGTGATTGGCTGTGAGTCCGTACTTGCCTCCGTCACTGGAACCTCCGTGTCAACGGGAAGATCGGTCTCGAGTTTCGCAGATTCGAACTGGTCCTCCGATACTGTAAGAACTTCTGATGCATTGTCCACTGATACAGAGTCACCAAGCTGAAAGCCTTTCTTCTTCGTCTTTTTGCTCTTTGAGCTTACTGGCGCAAACTCGGATTCTGCGGCCGCAATTGGTTCTTTGGAGACCAAGACTGACTGGTCAATAGAGGACGGTCCAGTCGTGATAGTCTGATCAGACAGGATAGCTGCAGCTGTCTGAATATCGGCAGTAACTGTGGGCTCGGCAGGCCCTTCGCTCGTAGCAGATTGCTCTGGAAAAAGCTCTTCAGTGAGAGCAAGCTCAGCTGGCGGAGGTTGATCGTCCGAGGTTGCACAAGTGTCAAGCTCTTTGCCCGCCTGCGCCAACTTTTCAGGCTCTGTGCCCTTGCTCTTCTTTTTCTTTTTCTTGTTCTTCGACACCGGTGCAAACTCATCTTCCCCGGCTTCGGCAGATACAGCAAGTTCCTGGGCAGTTGAGGCAGTCTCCTCAGTAACAGGAAGCTCTACTACGGGCAGCTCCTCCATGATGGGAAGCGTCTCGGGCTCCATAGCCTCGGGTGAACTGTCGACCAATTGCTTGCCCTTCTTCTTTTTCTTTTTGCTTTTCAGTAGAGGCGCAATTTCTGGTTCGTTGGCTTCCACATCTTCGACAGCCTCTTGTGAGGCCGCTGTAGAGTCTTCGATAGCAAAAGCTTCTGTCATACTTGGCCGATCATCATCTATTGTTTCCACTGGCGCTTGCTCTCCTGAGGTCGAAGGAGGGTCCAAGTTCCTCTCCACGGGTAAGGGCTCTTCATCCTTCGTCGTCTTGCTCTCAGATGAGACAAAGTCAAATGCAGGCTGGGCAGTTCCAATCACTTGATCAAGAGTAGGAAGATCTTCAGCAGTGGTAATTTCTCCGCCAGATATAGCAACTTGCTCCATGGCAGACCCTGTGATGCGTTCCGTCTTGAGTTCCTCGATTTGCTCTCGATCGCGAGGTGTCTCAATCTCTGGCTCCTTTTCCGTTATCACAGGCTCGTCCATCTGAAGATTCTTCTCGTCCTTTTCGGAGATCGAATAAGATGTTATCTCTTCAGGATGAGCAGCAGTAGACTCTTCACCAGGTGGGATCGCAGTGCCGTGAAATTCCTTGGCTTCAACGGTTTCAAGAGACTTTGTTGTCTCAGTGGTTGTCTCGACAGGAGCAGACATGTTCAAGTCCAGAGGTTCTGTGATAGTAGCCTCGGTTTCCTGTTGCTTTCTAGGTTCAGCAGCGAGAGCGTCGACTATAGGCTCAAGAGTAGCATCTGCGCCAAGATCAGGGGTAGCTTCGGCCGTCGGTACAGTGTCATGGGAAGAGATGTCCTTTGACTTCTTCTTCTTCTTCTTACCCTTCTTGCTTGAGGCTTCCCGGGAGTCCGCCCCTGCGGTAGGCTCAATAGCAACAGCGTCCTGAGAGGATTCCGGGACAATTTCAGGGGCGAGATCTTGTTCAAGGTTCTCGACAGCCTCGTGGATAGTTGTGTCAACGGTTGACGAAAGTGCTTCTTCCTTTGCGTCATCAGTAACGATAGGAGCTGGATCACCAAAATCTTGCTCTGGTTTATCAACCTCAATATCAGCAGTAGTGGCAGAATCCTTTGCTGCATCGGTATGAGAAATGTCAGCTGCCGCATCCGGGACGACATTGTCAGCCATTGGCTGCGTCATTGTCTCTGCGAGCTCGTCTTCCACGGAAAGAGACTTTTCCTTCTCCTGTGGGAGAACGGGCTCGGCAGCCTCTTCGATCTTGGTTGGCTCATCTGTCAACAAAGAAGCGACAACTGCAGCAGTGGCAGCACCTGCAACAACATCCTTCTTGAGAGACAGTTCTTTGCTCTTGCGGGCCTTTTTGGCTTTCTTCCTTTCTTTGGCAGACATGTTTTTCCACTCATCCGGCTCGGCATCAACGACAGGGACTGGTGGCATAGGCCCGACTGCAGGCTCGGCAGTGGGCATCGACATCTCGGCGGCGACTGGTTCAGGAGGCTGTGCCTTGTCGAACCAGCCACGAGCCTCTTCAAAAGTGTCCGAGTGTGTTCCTTCCAAGGCGTCGGAGAAATGTTCATCAGCTGAAGTCATGTCTTCAGCGGCATCGGGCAGCGAGGTCTCTGCCATAGGATGCTTGGTTGGAGTAGACTCGGGCTGGCTGCGCATGCTTTCTTCACTCTTGACAGTCTTGTTAGACTTTGTAGAAGATGGGGCCGAGTTGAGCAAGTATGAGCTTCTGTCTTTGGACATTGAATCAACAGGGGCGGGATCATCTTCATGGTCGGCCGATACAAGGGGTAGCTCGGGTCTGGCAATGGCCTTAGGGGTAGTTTCCTGGGAGCCAGCCATGTCTTCAATGGGGGCAGAGGAGGCCAGATCTGTATCAATTCGAAGTCCTGATGCGGCCAAGTTTTCCAAAGGGATGCCCGCGATGGCTACATCTTCGTTTGTATATAGGTCCGCATGCCCGGGAGCAGGGGATTCTCTCGAAGGAGGCTCGCTTGGCTCGCTGGGGGGGAGCGCAGGTAGGTCCATTTGTGGAATATGATCCAGGGAGCCATGTCGAGAATGTTCAAGAAGATAGAGAGGCTTGATTTCCCTGCTGCTATCCCAAGAAATGCGAGCCGATCGACGCGATGACTCGGGGGTCGTCACTGGCGAGTCGTTTGGTGGTGGTGATCGATGGGCAATGGGTGAGCTGGGGGGGGCACCGTGTCTCTGGCCAAGGCGGAGAGAGATGGGGATAGCGGTGCTGCTCGGAGACTTGGCGGGTGTATCCTGGGTGCTTCTGCGGCGGCGGTGCGTCAACAAGTCTAGCTTCAGAGCGCGCTCCTCAGTAGGCGTGTCTGGACGGCTGTCTGGTAGGGTAGGCAGATCTTCAGGGAGAGACTTGGGACTGCCTGGTTCGCTTGGGGGCAAGGGGAGCAAGTCGCCATACTGAGGGTCAATGGCAGGTTTGATTGCTCGAGGAACAATCTCGGGATCGAAGTCTTCCGACTCTTTCGATTTTCGGTACTCGTCAATATCGACGGCGTCGGAGTCCTTCTCAGAGGAGGCTTGGGCGGCTTTTGAACGAGAGACGCTGGCGGCAACAGCAGCAGCAGCAGTCGCTAAGCCGACACCCGCGCCAAGGGTGCCGGCATTATCTAAAAAAGACTCCCTATCCAATTTCTTGGAGTCGTCTTTGCCATCCTTCTTGAATATGCTGGCAAACAAGCCGCTTGACCTCTTCTCGCTCTTGTCAGCCTCCTTATCCCTACTGCGGCGAGGAGATCCTGACAGGGAAACAGTTGATCGAGCCGCATCTTCATCCTCGTAGAGAGATGATCGCTTGCCCTTGCGTGATGATCCGGGAGCAGACGCAACTGATTTAGCGTCGTCGTCGTCGTACAACGATGATCGCTTGCCTCGTCTCTCTTTGCGACGATCATCACCGCGAGACTCTGAGACTACGGAGCTAACGTCACGGTCATCCCAGGGGTCACGTTTCCGATCCGGCGGATCGTCTCGATAATCGTCAAAATCAGTGCCGCTTCGGTGCCTGGATTTGCTGCTGCTCTGCTTGCTGGAGCTTTCCCTCACGCCCACTTCGGACCCAGGGGCTGATCGAGAGCTGCGTTTGCTATGGGCTTCCCGTTCGCCAACTTCAGAACCAGGTGCCGATCGTGAGACGATCTCGGAGCCACCAGAGTCCCTCTTAGATTTGGACTTGGACTTCCTGGGAGCATCCCATTCATCATCCTGATTTACAACGCGAATTGTTGATTTGCTATCAAAGGAATCGGTGCGTGATACCCTTGTAGAGGTGTCATCTTCAAGATCGCGGCTCTTTCGGTCTTTTTTGGACTTCTTCCTTTTGTCAGGCTCTTCCCACACGGGGTTGGTGACCGCTTCTCGGGAGTTGTAGTCGTCGTTTTGATACAGTTCCTTCTTATCCATAGACGCGTCAGGAACCTTTTCCTCGACCCTGGCTTCCTCATCGCGCTTACGCTGCTCCTTATTGAGTAATTGCCTCTCAGGGACATCTTCAAAGGCACCAGTCTCAAGTACTTCGGCGGCCACAGGTCCAGTAATGTCAACAGATTGTCTCTTGGCTTCCTTTTCGAGTCTCTTTTTCTCCTTCTTGCTGAGTCTATGGGAAGGCTCGGTCCACACATCAGACGGGCCCGTTGGGTCTTCCCTAGTCATATCAACAGGCTCGGAAAAAAATCCAGGGTCAGACACGCCCTTTTGCTTAGACGTCATGTCTGTAACAACGTCAGCAAATGAGGAGCCGTTCCATCCATCCCCGTTCGTGTCGCTGGTGTGGGGAGGAGAATCCCGACGACGGTACTCAGGATCGTCAATGACAATACTGGGGTCGAATCCGGTATCCTTGAGACCGGCGGCAAGGGTGGCTGCAAACTCGATATCATCTTCGAAGCCGCCAGGCATCTTCACGGAGGCTAGGCTGACAGGCTTCGGCCCGGGGATTGGGGGTTCTGATCTTGCATCGTCCATCAAGTCGTCCACATCTTTCGTCGACCTGTCGCGATAGCCTACGCCAACATCGGAGCTGGCCTTCTTGGAGCGTGATGCCTTGACTTTTGGTTCGTCGGCAGGCTCAGCACTACTGCCTGCAATGGCAGCAGCAATCATGCCCCATTGACTCGTCTGATTGAGAACAGGTCGTGACCTATCCCCAGACTCGGACTTGTCCAGCGCTATATCGTCTTCGCTTCTCGGCCCCGGGCTCTCAACCTCAAAGCTCTTGGTCGAATTTTCACCCCATGTGACAGACTTGGCAGAGGAGGAAACAGTGGAGGCTGCACCAGAAGCTCCGGTCTCACTCTTAGCACCGCCAAAATAGTCCTCAGTGGAGCCGTCATTCGATATGGACTTATTCTTCTTGGTCTTTTTCTTTTTCTTCTTGCCCTTGTCTTCATCGGCAGAAGTTGGTTTCTCACCAACTCCGCTTGAGCCTCGTGATAGGCTGGGTGTAGGCTGACGACTGGGTACTGGGGTAGGATAGACGAGGTTGAGCATCGGCCGCTCGCGTTCACAAGAAGGGTCGCGGGATAAAAACGAATTGCTGTCCCGGTCCCTGGACTGGAATCTGTGGAGTTCCTTGGGGTAAATCTTGTTGTCGATTCTAACGTCGGCATCTGGACCCTCATATGGGCTCTTGACAGAAGTCTTGTTCCCTTCCATATCCGGTGGCGTGACAATGGTGTAGGGTTGTTTTTGGCCATCGTCATCGTATTTGCCAATGACAGACTTGTCGGAAGACACGCTGCGAGATTGTTGTTCCTCGGCGGCATTTTTTTCAGCAGTCATCTTCTCTCGGTAGTATCTGTCTGCCTCCTCCTGGACAGGATCCTTGCTTGACTTTGAGTAATCGCGAGACTCGTCGTCCACATAACCATTTCGACGGTGGTCTGTTGACCGGTCCATTTCCATAGCTACAGCAGACACTACGGCTGCTGCTGCTGCAATGGGAGCAGTGGAGTGTTTGGCCTCCTCATAAATAGTCCTTGCTTCATGCCCTCGTTCCTCATAATCATGTCGTCGTGAATCCTTACCCTCGAGATAATTTCGAGCGCCCTTGTTGTATTCCTCCGCCATGCGCTCCATTTCAAATGAGTCCTTCCGACTCAGCCTGGTGTCTGACTGCTCCAGGAGTGGCGGGTCGTCAAAGTTGGGCTCCCGATCCACCGTCACAACAGTGGGAGTCAATGGTCGCGTCGGGGCCATGGCGGCAGAGACCAGGGATGTTCCCAAGGCGCCATCAGTAACCTGAAATTGGAAGGGGTCAACAGGCTGGCGGGTGGTCGTGTCTGCAGGGGGCGGGATATAGTCGTAGGCACCCGGCATTTGATCGCGAGTGTTCTGCTCATCCCGTCGCCGTTCATCCCGATCATCAATATTGCGGCTGTCTCTTTGAGATGACCGCGATACCTCACTTTTGAAATCCCTGTCACGATCGCCCTTTTCGCTGCGCTTGGGCTTTCGGGACGACTCTGCCTCGGGATAGTGGTCTACCCTTGTCTCACGACGCTTTCGGGGCGTTGCGTCTTCTTCGCGGCGTGAATGACGCTTGTGATCCCGTTCATCAGAGTATTTAGAAGAGTATGAGTCTCTCTTTGATCTGTGATTGACCTCTGACTCTGCATCCCTGTCACGGCGCTTGGATCGGTCCCCCCTATCTCCCTCCCAGGGCTCGGCGACGCGGTTGAACTCTTGGACTTCTTGGGTATCATTATCTTTGCGCTCCTTTCTTCGCTCGTCTCGACGTGAGTCTCTCTTGGACTTTCGATCAGATGCAAGGGCAACTGCGGCTGCTGCTGCGGCAGCGATGCCTGTGAGTTTCGTGCCTGCGCCGACTCCAGTCTCGTCAGAACGTGTTCGTGAGTGCTTCTGGCTCTCTTCCTCCAGCTTCTCGGCTTGGTACACCTTGGATGATACCGGTGCTTTAGGGCTGGGTTGTTGAAGAGGAATTGGGGCAGGACGAGACCGATAAGGAAGTTCCTGGCGAGACGACATGGTTGGGGCAGCGTCGGCATCGAAGTTATCCGGGTCAGAAGTTGGCACGGGGTAAACATTCTTCATGGGACCCTTATAGATAGGCTCGGTTTCAGCGCGGCGCAACTTATTGAACTGTTGGTGATCAGCCGTGGGCTGACCCTCGCCGAACCCGCAAGGCGTGTTGATCATGCCCCTGAGGGAGTTGTAGGGCCCGAATAGTCGGGGATCCACGACGGAGCTCTTTCTAACATTGGTAGCTGGGAGGCTCTCTGCAGGTCTTGTCGAGGTTCCGGATCGGCCAGTCGTGGAAGCCACGCCTGCACCCAGAGCAGCGCCGGTTGCAACTCCCAAGGCGGATGTCATGCCAGATCTCGTAGGCCTAAGGGCATGAGAGACGACCGAGCCATATGCCAAAGCCGATTCAGCGTCGCTGAAACCACCCTGATCGTCAGGAGCGTCTTCCCAATCCGAATCGTCGCTGGAATCTGAGTAATCACCATGAGGTCTAGAGGTAGCAATACCACGAGTCTTTGCATCGCGTCTCTTCTTTCGAACCTCATTGACGGCGGCAGCTGCTGCCAGGAGTCCGGTTGCCTTGACCTTGCCAGAGGTTCGCTGATCGTGCTCCTTCTGCTTTTTCGCAAAGTCAGAGAGTTGACGGCCAAGCGCAAGAATTTCCTCGTCCGTCTTGTCCTTTTTGGGACCGCCTTGTCGGCTAGAACTACCTGCGGCAACGGAGATGCCAGCCCCAGCCCTATCATACTCGTTGGCGTTCCTCCCGTCTCTGTCTCTAGTTTGATGCGTCGAGTGTCCACCAGAGACTTTGCGCAGCTTGTTGAACTCGCGGCCCTTGGTCTTGGGAATATACCCCGTTCCATAGGCCAAATCGGAGTTGACCGATGAAGACGACGAGTTGCCAAAATAGAGCACACGGCGCTTCTTGGCTCGACCACTCCTCCGGCGACGTACCCGACGCTCTGAGGGAGCGCCGAAGAAGGTGCCAAAGAGACCTCCGAAGCGGCTCTGGGCCGGGTAATGACGCGAGATGTCTATTAGGGACGACGCGGCAGAGCTTGAGGTAAATGACCCAGAGCTATCAGAAGCTGCTCTTTGTCTGTTTGCGTACTGCCGTGCCCGTACGGGCTCCCGATATTGGTCCCGATCCCGGTCTCTATTTCCATCTCTTATTTCGTCCCTGCTTCCGTATCGGTTTCCATCTCGTACTTCATCTCTACTTCCATATCGGTTTCCATCTCTGATTTCGTCTCTGCTCCCATATATGTTTCCATCTCTGTCTCTGCCTACGTCGGAAGGTCCCGCACCACGCGCTCTCGTCGGCGCGGTCGCACTGGGTGTCGGATATTGTGAAGGGTAGTTGGGGTATGCTGAGGATTGAGGCATGCTCGAATTCATAGGTTGAGGAGGGACAAAGGCCAGATTCTCGTGAGAATCTCGCCTGTGATCCCGCCTCCGCCTCCGAGAGCTCTCGGGGCTCTGGCGGCGGGAATCTCGCATCATGGCTGCCGCTCTATCGGCCGGAGAGGGCGGTGATGCATCTGCCTTTTGCCGTTGCTCTGCGTAATGCGTGGTGTACAGTAAACGTCTAGGTATGTACTACGGTGTTGCAAACGAGGCAATGGGTAGACACTTGAAAGTGATGAAGAGGGAAAAATTGGCATGCAACCCCAGCAGCCGCCTGGTCGTACAGCAATGTTATGATTTTGGGCTGAAGCTCAGGCCTTGGTTGGCCATAGACCCGGTCATGGCCCTGGTCCGTCTCCAGAAGCACAGAATGGCGGTGGCTGGGCCAACCTGCAACTTGAACTTGGGTTGAACCTTGGAGCTTGGGTTTGGAGCACAGGAAATGGGGCCACCCGAGCCGGCGCTAACTGTCAATGGACAGATTAGTGGGGCTCATTGACGACGGTTCAGCTGTCCTTGATGAAGAGGCGGATGGGAAAACGTCAGCCTCTTGATGGTTGCTATCATGGCCACGCAGTAGGTGCAGAGCGCAGCGAGTGAGGCGTTGGGCAATAACTATCGCGAGCTGTTGGAGAGTCATGAGATGCTCCCGGCCATGTAATGGAGTCCTGTGGACTCCCGACTGGAATGCTCCGGACGGCCCCTCTTCCCCATTCTTGCAATTCTCATCCTGCACCCAGACCAGAGTCATTACTATTACCCCATTGACTCTGTTTGACGGCTCCTCGTGGTCCTTCTCCATGTGGCTCTTTGTACATGACGGGCACTAGTATCAGAGTTTGACGCCTCCTCCACCCCGAACCACGACCCGAACCACAAAGAGGGCCGTACCCGTTTCCACCAGACCGCTCAATCGGCTGCCTCCCAAGACTCTGTTTCGAAAACGTGATACTACTACTACAAGCCGACCCACCCAATCGCCTTTACTGTTTGGCTGCGTTTTGACCACCCGAAAGTGCTCGCAGATGCCCAACGAAAATATATGTAGTGTTCTGCCGCACCGTTGACCTTCAAGGTGTGTCGGCAGGCCCCCCCACCATTATGCATGCCAGCGTGGCACCTCACATGCTCCTGCACGTGTTGCGCCACTGGTCAATGCTAGTCTGGGATGATGTTTGCCCCAGTATTGCCTACCCTAGGGCATGGCCGTGTCATTTTCTTCACCCAGTGAGTGAGTGAAGGTTGTATGTGGTCTCTTGGCCTCTTGGGCAACCATAAGGTGACCATCTCGATTCATGAATGCAGTGTGCCTAGCAAGTCCAGATGGATTACGGAGTACCAGCCATGGACGGACAAAATCGAATAGAGTGATGTCCCACTGTGGCGTGTAAGGAGTTGTCTGGCGTTCGCTGGTTGCATTACTATATTCGCTCGGGGGAAAAAAAAAATATGTCTTCAAAGTTTACACATCCAACGGCAAGAACATTGCTCATCGGCTTGACAGGCGAACATACTACGCCATTCCGACTCTAGACCATGAAGTCTGCATGTACGTCGGGGATATCCCACAGCCGGCAAGGCAGATGGAGTTGGACCAAATGTTTCATAATACTTCATCATGCTATTAAAATATAACCAGGCATCCAACAGGGAAAAGTGCATCTAAACGCTTTCAAAAATAAATAAATAAAGTGCATCCTCACATTCCCAACACGCCTCAAAACCCAGGCAAAACCCTCGCCCTGACGGGCAAACCCCCCTTTGGCCGTGCAGTAACGCCGTACCGTACAACCAACTTTTCCTTGTCCCTCATCTCGTCATTGACCAAGTCAAACTCAAACCTTCCCACCCACGCGGCCAAAAGACATGCAAACTCGGATTTTGCAAAACTCGCCCCGATACAACTCCTGGGCCCGTGCAAAAACGTCAAAAACGCATACACGCTGCTCGCACCGCCGCTGCTCGCGCTCTTGGTGTCCATCGCATCGCTGGCCAGCCATCTCTCGGGTTTAAACTCCAACGCATCACTGCCCCAGAGATTCTGATCAACATTCGTGGCCCAGGGCGACAGCAAGACGACCGAACCCTTGGGGATGGGGTATCCCTGGACGGTAGTGTCCTCGACGGCCTCGCGGGAGGTCCGCGGCACAGGGGAGAAGAAGCGCAGGACCTCGTTGCACACGGCGTTCAAGTAGGGCATTTTGTCAATGTCGACCGAGGTGATGTCCGCGTCTGCGTCCAGCCGGGGCAGCCGCTCGCGGACTTCGTCGCGCAGACGGGTCTGGACATCCGGGTAGCACGACAAGACGTACGTTGCCCACGTCAATGCCGAGGCGGTGGTGTCGTGGCCCGCGGCCAGGAAGGTCATGAGTTGGTCGACTAGGTTCTCGTCGCTAAAGAGGCCACTCTCCAATGCAACGGACAGGATGTCGACATCTGTGCGTTCCTTGTTGGCCATTCTGTGCTTCTTGTCCCGGATGAGATCTTTGCAGACGTTGCGGATGGTTCGGTTGGCATTGTGGATGACGTTGTTACTCCTCAGTGGTATGCGGTTGGCCAGCCACGCTGGCAGGAGAATCAGGAGGATCCCAAGCAGACCGGCCTGGCCCTGCGTGCCCGTGAGGGACTTGTACGTTGTTGCGAGGGGATTCGTCGGGTCCTGGATAGATCCAAAGTCGACACCCATGCCAGCAAGACCGATAATGTCCAAGGTGCAGCGGTTTGCCCAGTCTAGCGCATCCAGCGTGGCAATGCCATCGCTATTGGCTGTGGCAGACATTGCCTGTACGACTTCACGGGCTTTTCGCCAAAATACGGGGTATAAGTCTTTTATGTGACGAAAGGCAAATGCCGGCATGAGGTTCCGCCTTTGCACTTTGTGCACATCGCCCTCAGTGAGGAGGATGCCAAAGCCTAGAACGGGCGACAGCAGTCTTCTCACGATGTCAGGTCGTTTAAACTGGTAACTCTTGGTGACAAGCACTTCTGCCAATCCCTTGTTGGACGAAACGATAACCCGCTCATTGTTGAACCACCAGAAATACCGAAGCAGTCCTTCATGCGGAATCGTATTGATCCTATCAGCAGCGACATCAGCGTCCGTCAATCTTGGCGACTCAAAACCCGCAACCTAAAGGAAACTATCGAGGGAGAATTGCTTTTTCCCTTTGTCATCATCACGATCATCCTCATCTTCTCCCTCTTCTTCTTTCTCTCTCTCTCTCCCTCTCTCTCTTCTTTATAACAAGACAAACAGACAAACAAACAAAAGAAATAAAGAGACAGACTTACCATTCCCTTGTCGGTTCATCTACCCCGGTTGCAAACCTCTGTCCGTGTCCAAACAACCAGTGCCCTCCCTTGACTGTGGGCAAATGTCTCAGCGGCGACAGGTAATGCGGATATATCAACACGGCCCATGCGCAATACAATGCGGCACCGCCCAGCCAAAAACCAACAAAAGCCCCAGCAAGAACGAGCCTCGAGCGCAAGCCCTGCGCAAACACCAGCACGGCGCAGCCTAGCAGGGAGAAGCCCGTGATTTCGTAGCCCCAGAAGCGCATCACCGCGTGTGACGACGTAAACAAATTACAGAGTCCGTTGGGTATGAATATACGGAGTAAGCGCCGTCGAAGACACTGGTGCGGAGTACGCTCGATTGGTTTTATTCGCTGCCATGCGCAGAGTCCTGCAAGCGCCCCGGGAACCCGACGACCGGTGATCTCGACAAATGTCTCAGCAGGCGAGTATGCAAGGCAGCCGAAATCTCGCAAGCTCACTGAAGGGTGAAGCGACTTGGTAAGGCCGCGACCACAAGTTGGATCAAATAAAGCTGCCAAACAACAACCAAGAAACTTTCGTCGGCTCCTTTCGTCTATAACTGGCGACTGAGGGGATCATGCAACGCGGCGCGGTACATGGCTATTTATTCCCTTCTTTTGCACAAAACCAAAAGTCCGTACGGAGCTCGCGAGCAAGGGCAACTCATGCGTGGCCAAGGCCAAAGCCAAAGCCAATGCCGGCGGCCGGCCCTCTCCCTTGTTCCTGCCCACCTGGCAATCTAACAGGTACGGGGTACGGAGTTCTGAGGCGCTACTAATTTGTTAGCCGACCAGGTACTCCGTAATTAGCCGCCGGGGATTACCACCTTCTCCACTCCACGAACGTGGCTGTATATAAGATGATACAGAGTACAAAACAAAAAAAACAGGAGTTGAGACAGCCACCCGGACGAGGGAGTCAAAATCCGGCCGACCAGTTCGGATCATTCTGAAGATCTTTCCATATGTAGAGCCTGGCATGATTTCTCCCGTAGCATGTAGCGTGGGGTCGGGTTTGGCCCAAAGTAAAGTTCCGTGTCCGGGCTGACCGGGCCGGGGCTGTCGTCTTCCGCCTCCGAGGTGCACGAGCGCTCCATGCGACTCAGTGCCACAACCCGCACTGTACGTATGTGTGTATGTAATTGCCCACGTATGTACTTTATCAAGTAAAACATCTGCACATGGTACTCAATCATGCCCTGGTGTCCTGGCCCAGAACCCTGTGCAAAAATGTTCCCACTCTACTCCGTACATGTCACGACTCCGTATCACTTACTAAGAGCCAATGAGACCCCGCCATCCTTCAACCATGGCCCCGCCCGCACTCTCCACGCTAACGACGTAAACGTACCCCGATTCGAACCCCTCATTCGAGATCGACTCCTTTTCTCCGCCCGGCTTGGCATCATCACACAAGTCAGCGGGATAGTCTCGTCGTCACGCCCTTCAGCTCATACCTGTCAACAGGGGGTAAACAATGTTGGGTTCAGTCATCATATTATTCTTCGCTGCTAGCTTCACCCACTCTGCAATCATCCGCTGTCTCCGCTTCTCACTGTCTACTATGGAATTACACCTGACAATCTATGACAAAGTGCCAACCGACTGACCCATACCCATGGTGATCGTAGTACCAAAATATTAAATGCCAAACGCCGAATTATGTCCCTGTGTTCTTGAGTTCGTGAGTCCGCAATAAGCTCCCCTTTCCCTATAAAAACACCAAGATCCTGTCAAAGCAGTGACGCAACCCGACTGGAATCAAAACACACCTGCAATGCGACGAGTTGGATCATGATATATAAAAAAACAAACGAAACAAGTAAACGAAAAGGAAAAAAAAAAGACGTCGGGGGAAAACACATAGAGAAGGAACGATGCCGAAAATGTTATATGTACCAATCCTGCTGTTTTCTTTCATATCCTTCTTCACCTGCGTTCACCTACTGGCCTTGTCTTACAACACACCTCATCTTGATGCCAGTAGGATGTAAAATGACATCTCATTCCTTGATAGCACCTCTTTGTTCACCACGGCCGATTTCTGGAGGGTCGAAGCGGGGACAACTCTGCCTCGGCGGACAATGTGTTTGCCACGGGCGCAGTGCTAGACTGAGTTGCTATTGGTGTTGTTGATGCTGCTGCATCGCCGGGCAGGCCAGTACCAGCACGCCGTTGATTTATTGGTCTTTGCAGCGGGTTAAGAATCGTTGGTGGTGGGATCGATGACCCATTTGCAATCACTGTCCCGGGGGGGTCAATCATTCGAGGTCTCGTCGGTCTTGCGGCGGCAGTCTCAGTAGCAGTTCCCCGCCTCGCACTGGCGGTCGAAGTATGCTGATGTTCTGCCCAGCTAGTTCTAGATGGAAGCTGACCTTGAAATGATCCAGAAGGCACGAAAGTACCTGGCGTCGAAATAGCAACCCAATTGTTCTCACCGGAATTTGAATGGCTACCTGGTAGCTGCAATGACGGCTCAGAAGGCAGGTCGTCAGGTGATATGTAAGGCTGCGACATTCGCAAGTCCTCCATGTGGCTTTCACCCGTCACTCCCGAACTACTGCGACGTTGTCGGGTTCGGCGATGGTCGTGCCCAGAGGCGTCGTCTGGAGGCGACCGTCTTTCTGCTGTACGTTGCGGGCGAATCAGCAGTTCCTGAAGCTCTGAATCCCCAGCTGGCCTGCTCACAACTCTGGCAATCATCTCTTCAGAAATGCTAAACCCAAAAAAGTTAGTAAGTAGACGGCTTCCTCTATCACTTTGGATGTGTACAGAACTGACCCAGTAGGGAGGGGCAATCCTCGAAGCCTCATCATCTGCATAAACGTTCTTGCAGTTCCAAATGAATGCTTCGGCTCGGACTGCAGCTTGCTCCGGCAATACGGGCAACTATCTGAGTCCTCAAGCCATTTCTTAATGCAGTGGTCTCCGAAGATGTGTTTGCATTGGGGCAGTCTGAGAGGGGCTTCATTGACACCCTCGGGACTGGCCACCCCGTAATCGTTATAACATATGACACATGCTAACAGCACCGACATCAATTAGTCATTACCTCTTTTGTATCCAGAACTTGCCATATGACAACTCACTTCTTTCAGATTCCGGAAGTGCAGAAGCCTCGACGCTTTCCAAAGATTGTAAAGCGGCTTTTGATGCAACCAATTTACTTTGTACTGTACCGCGATACATTTGCATTTGCCGCATCACGACATCCTCCATTTGCGAACCGGTTATCCCGTGGCTCCCCCGACGACTCGATCTTGAAGCTGTGTTGTCGCCTTGCATCTGCGGAGTTTGGGCGTCATCTTGCGAACGTATATGGTCAGAGTTGGACTGTCTGGAGGCCATAGACCGTCGGGCTCGAGAATGCGCTTGTCGGCGACGGTCAGACGCCGGGTTCAAAGTGTTGCTATTGTCACGATAGCCGAGAACGGCGGTGGCTGTGCACTATTAGTTAGAAACCTGTAGAACAAGAATGGAATTTTACGTAGAATCCGTAAATCAAATAGAAAAGGATGATGGCGGATAATGAGCGGACTGCAAACACTGGGGAAGGTTGTCTCACAAGTCTGTGATCGGTGCGATCTGTAGGAAGTCGGCGATGACGTTTGCCCTGGGCGGCGGGGAGAAATTGGGGATAATGGGAAATGAGAAATTGCCGCCGATGGACCAACTGGATGACCAGAAGCATTTGGCAATCCTTCCGAGGACGAAATTTGGGGGAAAGGCACGGAATGCGTCCCCGAGGTCGCACCGGGGGGTGCCCAATCCATCGCAATAGGTGGCCGCAGTCCCAAATCTCTTGCATTTGCATTCATGTTCTCAAATGTGCTCGGGACAGAGCTCATGCTTGCCCCTGAGCTATTCATGGGCATCGGCTGCATTGTTGAACTCCAATAAACTGCCGCTGCAGGCAACCCAGTGTAAGACTCTGGAGCTTGAATGCCACGCACACTGCGGTCTGGAGGAGGCAACGTGCCATGCTGGCCGGAATGCATCGGATGCGTAGGACCTAGGGCGCCCGCTGCAGGTCTTTGGAAAGCTTGCTGCTGCGCAAAGTAGAAAGAGCCGAAGGGTAACGGTTGAGACGGCCATGGCGATATAGATGGGCCATGAGAATGAGCCATCCAGGAGTTCGATGCCGTCTGCAACAAGTCTCTGGAAGATTCAAGCCTCTGGGCATTGTTTGGGAGGAGATTCATCTGATCCATTTTGAACCTGTTTATTGTCGCGGGCCCTCCCCAATCCCAGCGACGTGGCTCTATTCCAGCTTGTTGTCAAAACCAGAGGAATGGCGACCCGAGACAACGTGGGAGGCTCGACAACGACCGGGCACAAGGCACTCCCAGGAATAGTTCGGCTTGCAGGCGGGAGAGAGATCTAGTGATACGGTCTAGATGTATTCGTAGACGAGGTTCTGTGTTGATTCGTTTGTGATGCTTTTAGGTGTGGTGTTGTCTACTACCTTGTAACACTCTTTCGTGTGTTATCAAAGGTTGACCTGCGAGCTCGAAGGCGCCGCGGGCATTGAGACCAAACAAACAACACACAGACGAACGGTCCAAGTAATAATAATAATAATTGTAATAGGGTGGCGGGCCGAATCGAGGGAAATGGATAGTCGGCGTCGGCTCAGGCGTCGTGGAGGTAAATACTGTATATGCCAATAGATCACGGAGAGCTGAGTAGACCGGGGTTCGTAAACAATGAGAGGACGAGGCAAGTATGAGCAAACTCGGCCAAAGCAGAAGGCTAAAGAAGACGTCTGGAGAGCGATCAAGGTTAATGCCCGGGACAAGATGAAGTGTCGGACGGCAGGTACGAGCTGGTGATTTGTCCCTCTTTCTTTCTTCTTTGAAAGGTCTTGGATTTTGGTTGAGGAAGGAAGCTATAAATGGCTGAAATCAGAAATCAAAATCCCACCCGATCTGCTTAGAAGTGAATCAGAAATGACAACAGTACAGAGCCGCCCTCTCAGCCGTGATTAACAAGAGGTAGCACGGGAGAGTGTCCGTCCGATGTCTTTTATCAACCTGTGCACAGAGCGGTTCTCGACACAGCTGGGTCAGGTGCTTGTTACGAATGCAGATGTTCGGCTCCTACGCCCTCGGAACCTGTGAATAGACAAGAGCTTGATATTTGGCTGGTGCAGAGCAACACATCATCAGCGTCGTCGTCTTTCTCATCGGCCCGAGCTCAACATCCAAAGACCGAAATACCCTGGTGAAAATGACGATGCAGCCAAGGACAAGACCACAGGCGTGGAGCGATGGCAGCGACAGGAGACCAGCGAGTACGAGGGGCTTCTTATTCTTCCCAATGCAACAGAGACAAACGGCGAGCACGGACGGAGGAGGAGAAGGACAACGAGGCACGAGGCAAGAAAGAAGGCAGCGGGATAGAGCTCTATCGTTGCGGTACTAGCCAAGGGGTTTCGGCCAAGGCGGACAGAGCTCGTAGAAGCTCATATGTACGGTATGAGGAGAGGCGAATGTCTTGGGAACGGCCGGACGGAGACTGAGGCAGGCGGATAAGCACAAAAAATAACCACGGCTCAAGAGAAGGCACGAGCACCACCAGGATGGAGGAATTGAGGAGGGGAAGAGCCAGAGGCAGCCGGAGTGCGTGCAGTCCTGTGTGTGAGCAAGGACAAACCAAGCCCAAGAAAAAAAGAGGAGCAATATTAGAAACAGCATCCAGAGCCGCAGAGGCAGCGCAAGTGGGCAGCGGGCGCTGGGCTAATAAGAAGAGCGCGATGATTCAAGCTCCCCGGCCGGTGCTTGATAAGTGGGCATCCCATCAAAGGAGCCAGAGGCGGACATCAAATGGGACGCCAGTAGTGTCAGAAGATCAATGAACGACGGCACCATCGAGCCGGGCTTGGATGGACCGGCCATACAAAAAGCACACGACAGCGGAGGAGAGAGAGGGGTGGGATGCGTGGGCGAGGGTACCGGGACGGAGTCGTCAGGTATTACATATTACACCACGGGCGGTGATGGAAATGGGTGTGAGTTGAATAATTGTATGGAGAATGGTCTGGAGCCAAAATGAGACGGGAAAGCCGGGAGACAGAGTCACCAAGTCAGTCAAACCCCATGCGTCAAATCAATCGGTTTCCTCCACGTCCGGTCCAGTCTGGCGTGCGGCTTGGTTTGAGTTGGGATCTGAGATGCCGAGACTTCCTTTGTCTGTACGGAGTGCTGTACTCACATTTACCGGTGTGCTGCGCCGTCACAGCTTTTACATGGCTCCTCTGTGTGGGAATACGGTCAGCCAGCCAGGCAGCCAGCAAGCCAGCCAGCCGAGGCGACATGGTACCGGCTCATGAATGAGAAACGCAGGCTGGTACATAGGTTGATAAGTGAGGGGTCTATACTCGGTAACAGGCGGCATGAAATGCTGGGGTTGGGTAATGGGCTTGGACTTGGGCTGTTCTTTGGGCTCGGGCGTGCCTTGTCGTCAATCACTTTCAACTTCTCACGGGACGCCAGAGCCAACAACGATGACATGCTAGGGCAGCGAGGAGGGGCCCCATACCACAGCTATTCCAGGGCGGAACCATTAGGCAGGCCGGGCTTCCTGGAACATGGATGGCAACGTGAGAGGTAAAGGGGGGTATGAGCTGACTGGCGTGCTCAAGTGAAGAGGGCGAGACGAGGGGACGGAAGTGAGGGGGACGCGGAGACTGAGCTGCGACAAGAATGCTCAAGTGGCCTAAGATGGGGAGCAAGACGCGCTGCACCGGATGGATAGACATGGGATGTTGTGGGCGAGCACCAAGACAGCTCGAGCCTGGACATGGAGCCATTAACCTGAGCCATGGCGCATAACTGGCGTCAAAAGCGGCGCAAGAAAAGGCAGGCCATGGCATGGTGGGAACACACAGCCGTGCCATCATCCATCCACCTGAGCAGTCAGATGTTACGAGACATGGCCAAGAAGGACGAGGACAAGGACTGCGACGATGGGCACGGACGAGGGCGGCAGAAACGGATCCAGCGGTCGCCGAGCAAACATGACTAGACCAGCATCGCATCGCATCGCATAAGTTGCGGCATCGCATTTCATGGCAAGGGAGGACCAACAGCCTTTCAGCTCCATATAACACCCCGTAATCCGGACATGCAGAAGAGACGAGCTAGGAAGGCAACTCTCGTCGTCTGGATTGCAACGAATCGAGCTATGCAGTCCTAAGGAATTCCTCAGAGACCCGCGGGCTTCGACTGGGCCAAAACAGGTGCTCAGCAGTTACTGTTTGCCTCGAAGATGAGGAAACGGCCATTAGAGAAAAGGCACCGGTGTCGCGTACCTCAAGGTAAAAGTGCATTATTCCAGCCAGCTCTCTTCAATGTTCTGACATTTCCCCAAAGTCCACGACTCCAGCCACTTGCAGCCGTCGGGCGATGCAAGAAGCTCAGCCTGGTTACGTCAGCCACGTAATATTTGGTGCAAGGGAAGAGTGACAGTCCAGTGACGTCCCGCCTCCAAGTGAGCGAAAACTTTGTCGTTATCTAGTTCCGAAACATAAAAACAAGGTTTGGCCCAGAATGGAGAACAAGGTCACCGAGGAGCTTCAAAGCAAGCCTACATCATCAGCATTCAACCTTTGAACCCAGCATGGGTTAAATGTGCTTGACCCAATGCTAAGACGTACGAGACCAGCCGTACCCATCGGTGGAGGAAGGATCCTCTGCAGTTTCTCCCGAGGCACGTAAAGGGAAAGTTGGGGTAAAGACAGCGCTGTGCTTATTTTGGCAATGGCGATTGGTAACTGAGAATGTTCAGGTGAGACTCCGATGCACACCTGGACATGTGGTAGCTTTTCGCTAATGTGGGGAGCAGCAGTGCTGTGTGTTTATACGGCTTCGATTCAATAGCTCATCATTCAGAGCCACAGAGTCGTCCAGCAGAAGGCCAGATCGAGCTAGCCCGCACGAGAGTCAGTCAAGTTTGCCAAGGTCGTCGAGGTCCATGTCGGCGATGCGGGCTTCACCCAGCACCAAGCCATGATGCCGCATTCGCCATGACCTGGCCTGGCTTGCAGTCTTACATGATGGTCCAATCACTCGTGCCCTTGGTGGCATGTTCCATTTGGTTTTTAGCCATGCTCCACGACCTCGTCCTGACCTTGCGGATGCCACCAACAATCAAGGTTATACCCGGCTCCCGTCACAAACACGACCTACAATATGAATACCGGGACACGAATTTTTTTTTCTTTGAAAAATCATCTTCTTGAAAGAGAGGAACAAGCAACTTTGCACGCCCGGTCAAGATTCGCATCAAACGCAGATGCACGAGGTCGGGGTTGGCCCTCACGCTAAACCCCCCTCTTCCGCGATAATATTTCACCACATACGCACGGAGTAGTGCGTGCGGATTCTTAATAACTATGTTTGTACATGTCGAGAAACCCATGTGCGTTTGCGTGGCCAGCCAACACCTTGGCTACATAGCGAACCAACCTCCGGACAATGCTCTGTCCAAAGAACAAGCAATGACTTTCAAACACATGGAAAAGCGTCAAGTTGACCCGACACGGATCAAACGCCGGATCAAATTTCGTGACACAACATCTTTTAAGCTAGTTTTCGTGATTGAACATGTGGCCACGGCGGGAGTCAAAATGGGCCATGATGGCCGAGATGGAACTGTTTGCCGCCATCGACCATGACCCCCTCTAGAAGCGCTAGGACCATCCTTGTTTTTCTTTCCCTCGTCGCCCTCTCTCGGCGTTCTCTTCATGTGAGCCATGATGATTTACGTCTGCTGGCACGTCGACTGAGTGGGATGGTTCTCGTGATGCCTTTGGCTCAAATAGATGACATGGTGGGGTGGCTGAAATGACATGGGGAGGGGTTCCATTCCATTGGCAATTGCTGGCCATGAGCATGGTAATCGTTCTTGTTTGGCCATGGGTTAATACGACAAAGGCCTGGGCTTGATAACACAAGCCAACCGACATGAAACTCGCTCCTCTGTTGCAGCCATATGATTACTACTACTTACCTAGTAGGTGGCTCTGAGCCCTCGCCATGCTTTTGGCACAAGGAACGGATTCCAGTCACCCCGCTGGCTGAGGAAGAATTGATGCGTCGCTCGCCGGAACATGATTTATCAATGACCATGGTCAACTAGTACTTCCGACTCCCAAGGCCTGCCTTGATGGCCGCCCATCCAGTCACGACCGGCCGCACGAACAGCCAGCTCTGGTACTATCTCGACCATGATAAGACGGAGCACCTAGGTAGCCAGCGATAGCTCCGCACAATTGCGGTGTTGCGGTCGAGGCAATGGCGCAGGCTAGGACTACGGCCACCATGATTGCTTGGTTCTCGCCTTTGCGATTGGATGTTTCGACCCATGTGGCATGGCAAGGTATCGTGACAATGGCCTGAAACCTTGCAAATCGCCTGGTGTCGGTTCTACCGCGTTTGTATTGCCTTGATGCATTTTGCAGCGTAGATCAGTCGGTCCTGGGTTGATGCAACTCGCAGCATGACTGCCAATATCAGCTACTGACTGTGGTGGATTACTCCATGCTGTCACAATGCCAAGCGAAGGTGCATCTCCGCATTTCTAAAATAACATCGAAATGCCCATGCCGTACGGAGTACTATGTATGTACGTATGCACTGACAACATGTGCATACCTAGGTAAGTACCCAACGACTGTTTCCTCTGCGTGGTAGCTGGCACAAACTCGCCCATCCTTGCCCCCTTTCGCCACCAAGGTGCGTGCTCGGCACATTTGAACATTGAAGCATCCATGTGCACCTACACCCGCCCTTTTTGCACAAAGAAAGCACTGACTGGAGACGAAAACCCAGCAGCCAAAGAATCGATGCCTCAAGCTACCGGGCTATGCAAGCCTCCAACCACCACACACCGTGACACCACCAACAATGGTCGCAGGCCACCTAAAGCGACCATTGTTGCAACGAATAAAAGCACCGAGGTCAACATGGATGGTCAACTAGGGACATGGCACGTCGCTGGCCCCTCCAGAGAGGCAAAGCACCAGCTGCGTACCTAGGCAGTTAAATACCTGTTTTGGTTCCTCCTCGACCATCTAATCCTCGGTCTTCCTCGTTGTACATACAGGCACCAGCTGCCACGTCGTGTTCTATTCAATGTTGGTGTGACCACACAGCCTTGCGCTGCACGCTGCTTGGCCTCTCAACACCATACACTGCATCGTCAAAAAGGACCGAGGAATCATTCCAGGGCGAGGGGAGGGGGAGAAAACTAAAAAAGAAAAAAAAAAAGGACCACAACATACAACAGCCAGTGTTCGCTGGTCATCACCAACCCAACTACTACTAATAATCTACCATTTAGTAGGACGAGATCGAAACGAGATGCCACGTTTTCCACTACCTATGGTCGTATGTGCAAATAGCCTGAGCTTATTCTGCTTCAGACGCTGCATATTTGTCAAGGTGAATGCACATATTTACGGAGGCATAATGCCTGGTTACAAACAGTACATAGAGGGTTGCTTCCGACAGTCCAGACGGTTCTTCTTTCGATTTCTCTAATGCCAGTCTGCCCACAGCCAATGCTCCTTGAGTAGTGGCAATAAATTCACCACATGACACGCAAGTCAGACTCAGAAATTGGTGCAATGTCGAACAATCTTTACCCGCTACCTCGTCGATATCTGATGCTCGCGCTCGTTAGACAAGCAGAGTGACTGGCAGGGTGTCTTTAGACAGCCTTCTTCTTAAGAATTCCACGTTTATTCCACGTTTTGGGGGAATCTCGGTCAATGGCTCAGGGCAACATCGACAGCGTCGGGAGTAGAGCTTCTGGGATGCAACACCGTGACCATTTCAAGATTCTAGACAACTTTGACATTTTGTACTACCCGGGTGCTGGAGCTGGCCTGGTGCACGGCCTCCCACCGCACGGCGTGTAAGAGTCGTTTCTTTAAAAAGCAGCTGTTCATTATGGCTGCGTATTCCTGCCGTTCAGTTTGACTTGCCATCCAAGGCCTTTATTGACTCGTTGAATCTCCACTCAATCTGGTAGTCTTCTGGTTTTGTCACGCAGGCAGCTAACAAGGACATCATGGGAAGAACTTGTTCCGCGAGCATTGCCCAAAGCTACCACTGTGAGATGAAGCGAGGTAAAAAGAAAATTGAGCAAAACTACTCCGTACGAAGCCCTTGCTTTCAGAAGTAAGAGGGGGCGAAAAAGAAATCCTTTCCCTAGGACTCGACCCCGGAACCTTGTGATGATTGCATTGCTACATTTTTGTAAAGCGACGTTGGATGTGCATGTCGGTGTGTTTCGATGTCTGGAACACCTGGTGATCGTGGTGGGGTTGAAAAAGAGGAAGGAACCTCTATGTACAAGATACCTAGAGTTATCAAAGACGAGTCGGGCCACATGGAAAGGCAGCTTGAACAAACAGAGAAAATATCAAGACAAAGCGGTCAGCAGCAACGGGGAGAGGACCAATCCCAAATAAGAGGAATGGATTCTCAGGGCAAGGACAGTGCCAGGTTAATGTTGGAAAGAAATCCGTGACGGCTAGGTCATGTGAATCCCACCACCCTTGCCCCCTGCATTGGGGGACACGACACACCCGGCTGATGTGGAGAATCATGACGTTGTTTGGCTGCGTCAGAAGCGATAGTGACTTGATAAACCCCGTCGAATAAGGAGTCAAAGAGCTCGACTGTTCCACTTGAGGCATTTTCATTCACCAAGCCACCCAGTCTCAGCCCCCACAGTGTTCGGCATGGGCCATTCCAAAAAGATATAAAAACGGACTGCTGCCCCGTGCAAAGATTCCCACGGATTTGGGAAATGCCCAACCCTTACTTAATCCGTTGAGAAAAGCTCGCTATTCGGTTTGTCGAGTGAATTATGGATTGACTTGCTGGGCGGATGAGCGCAGGCGAGCTTATACTCGACCTTCATTTCTTCGCTCAGCAACGGCATCCTCGATGGGGGTTATAAGTTGAAAGTTCTCTTCCCATGCCAACAAGCAGCGCAGACTGGTGTAGCGGATACGTGAGCGATAGCTGCCAGGACGCTAACGGACGCGTTAGCTGTCTGTGAGAGTGTCGCCGGTCGCAGGACCCCGGTTCGACACCTGCGTCTGGGGTGCTTGTTTTTTTTTTTTTGGCACACAATCATCATCTGTTGTTGATTTCATGTCATCCATCCGGCGATGTTTTTTATTGCATAAATTACCACCAGTTGATTGAATTCTTCCAACTAACCAGCATGGCCCACGTTTGGAAGTGCCACCGCGAAATCCATGAGCTTACGCTTAAAGACTGCGAGGAGGACGTGACCGATCTGTCAGACAAGTTAACCACAAGAGTAAACAGACAGATATAAGAAAATTAACTTAAAGGCATTAAATATCACTGAGGGTCATCATGGTCAGCACGTTTGAGAATCTTTTCGAGCCTTCTAACCGAAGGATGTCCAAATATACGATGGAGTTGACGTAATTCCATCTCCGTCAGGTAGAATGAGGGATTCTTTATATTCAAGGCCTTCTGGTTGATTTTCTTATATCTGTTAACTCTTATGGTTAACTTGTCTGACATGTGGCACATAGTCTTCACATAAGGTATACGTGGGAGCAGGGGCGCGAGCGACTTAATATCTCATCCTTGAGATGGTCCTGGCTACATTTACTCTCCTTCATGGAGAGTTTATATATAGTCCGGAGCTGCGTGACTGCTTTACTGGCGCACTCATCTATGAATCAGAAACGAGGTCCAGACCATAGCAAGCCGATAGTCGAACTCACCCTCCGTTACTAAAATGTACGTTTAGTACTTCTCTTTAGCCTATGGTGGTGAGAGGGAGGGAGGGGCTGGATCATCCATCTCCTAACCAACCTCTCAAATGAGAGGCTATTCCCAAGTTCTGAATCTGAGGGCCTTGCCAATGCCAGCCGGCCTTGAGAGTCGCGAGAGCCAAGCAGTAGTTCTTTTGCTGAGGATCAAGCTGTGATGAAAGTGTGGTTCATTCCACAAACCGGCTCTGAACGACTATTTTTCTCCCTCCAGACCAACTTCATGAGTTGCAAGCACTGGAACGTACGGACGTACATTCTTGTATAAACAGTTGCAGCATTGTGAAAATGGTCCAAATTGCACCAGTATGTTTCTTCACTACGCCCACCCTTGCAAGATGATAGCTGAAGCGGCGCAACTTCCCCGTGCCTGCTTATGATGTCTCATCCCGCCCGCTTCCGGACAAAAGGCAGGACAGCTTTTATTTTCCCACCGCAACGTCTTGTCGTCTAGTATCAAGTAGTGCCCTTCTATTCCCCCTTTCTCCCCGTCTCTTCATACTCATTCAGTCATTTCATCCCGTCTTCGGAGCCTTGACGGCTCTCCTCGTCATTAGCTTCAAGATTGTCATGAACCTATATATAATTGCCTCGTCTCATGATAGACGCGGAATATTTTGACAGCAAGAGTTGTACTACCCAATATCTGTTGGTGATACAGACGCGTCTATGAGCTAGTCTCCTCCTGGGGGCCTGGCAATAGTTGGAACCCCGAGGAAAACACTGCAACCCTTCTGAGAACAACATGGCGCGGGCTCTAGGGGAGGAGAAGTGGGCGAGATGGAGTGGACAAGGAACCAGTCGACTCAAACCGAGCGGTTACCATGAGAAATCAAGTGGCTTGGTAGGCTGTTGTATCAACGGTGGGCACAGATGGGCCGTTGCGATATTTGTCACGGATGTCGACGAAAGAGGCTGTGGTCGTCTTTATAGCCAGAAAACTTGTCTTTCATGGCCGGCAGCTCGAAACGGCTGCAATTTCTCACACAATGGATTGCCAGAGTCTGGAGCCTGGTCGTGTATTATCTAGAATTGCCAGTGTGGGTTTTGCATGTAATGCCTGCCACGTCTATTCTCACACTGAAAAGGTAACAACCATATTACTAGCGAATACGGAGTACAAAGTCGGCATTTGCAGCTTGAACACCTTGATCACTTCTTCACAAGCCGGTACTTGCCCCCCGAAAGCTCCAACTCCTTCTCTGCAATCTTCTCCCCCAAAAATTCCTGCAACTCTTCATTGTTCCATGGACATCCATCAGCAATAAGCATCTTCATCATCATCGCAATCTGGCCTAGTGGCATCGCAGGGCTCGAATTGGTCAACATGCCCACAATGAACTGCCAATACACCGTCCGGCGTTCCTGCTCCTTCGGATCCGTCTTGGGCTTACGAGGTGACGGCTGGCTCGTTTTGACCGCCTCATCAGCAGAGCCGGCGTCGTCGCCAGCATTCGCTGATTCATCTTGATCGAGCTTTTCCAGAACCTCGTACGTCTGGTTCCCGACCTCACGGAGCACACGTTTGGAGACCCAGAATCGTAACGCGGATTCCAATAAGTCCTCGTCAATCATTAATTTCTCCCAGAGCGTATTAAATGTGCGCTGTTGAGGACCGTGGGCTGAGCCCTCGTCGTCTTGGAAGGCGTAAATGACGGCGGCCTCGTACGTTTTACACTCTTGTTCTAGGGTTCGGTCGTCGAGATCGAGTCGAACAGTTGCCATGCCGAGGTGGTCCAGCCACGTCAGTTTTCTACAAGTCTTGAGCTGCTGAAAGCCTGCTTCATATTTCCTCTGTATTTCAGCAACATGTGCGGGAACAGTGAATGGAGCCTTGGGAAGGCTAGGCCAGAAGAGGCGAGACAGGATCTTGGAGTGATAGTTGACGGGGTGGGGGTGGTTTGCCTGCTGGCCGTCCGTAGAGGGTAGATTCTTGCGGAGAAGAGCATCTACTCGTCTAGAGTCGTAAACGTCCTTGACCATGACGTCGCAGTTTTGCAGTGCGTTTTCCCCGAATCTCTTCTTGAGCAGAGACAAGACCTTGATCTCCTGCTGAAAGCCCGCTTGGTTCGATAACAGTCGTTCTGCAATGATCATTTGGAATTCTTTGATGAAGATCTCCTGCGAACCTAGGGCATTGATGAGAGTGCCAATGACGTCTTCGTTTTTTGGCCGTTTGTAATTCGGACCGGCGTCCACGGGATCAGGTACCCAAGCCATGTCATCCCAGTCGAGATCCTCGTCATCAACATGAGATCGTTGTTGCTGAGAGGCTTCATCGAGCAAAACGGCCAACTCGACGAGTCGCTGCTTGCTCTCGTCCGAGTCGACCCTGTCCGGATTTGAAAGCAAGCCCGTGACCACGATACGAATAGCGTCATCTCGCTGGCAGAGATATAGTTGCAAAGCATGGACCACTCGATCTAGCAAAACCTTGGAAGAATCGAGCTGATGAAACGTCCGAATCATGGAAATATACGTCTGCAAAATGTCGAGTGTGGACCTGCCTGGGTGCAATAGTCGTTTCTGCAAGGTAGCTGAGAAAGTATCAGTGAGCTGCAGCCTGCGTTGCGGCGTAGCAACGGCAGACCGAAGGTCTTCGAGACCTCCCTTACTCTCCGGCCAATGGAGCACGATGTCGAACAACTCCTTTATACGCAATGAAGCCAGTCTTCCGACTGCGATATCTCTCCATCGCTCAACGTCTGTCCACGCAACCTGCCCCCCAAGACGACTAAAGACTTCCACGGCAAGACGGCCGTAATGGTTCTCGACCCAGCCGCACAAATGGGCCATGCATCCAGACGAGGCAGATGGATTCACACTTCCAGCCACATCCAACGCTGTCCAGACTCCCGTATATGTCCGTCGTATGAAGTCACTCATGCACTCGTCCATAATCTCAGCAAACAGCACTTGAAACTTGTCTCCTGCCAAGCCAACATTATCCAGCGACTCCAGCAAACCCAGGAGCTCATTTCTCGTAGTGTCCATTCGCCCTTCATCCCGGTGGCCAGCCCCTGATGCCAATACGTTCCGATTTGATCCCAGAATAAGCGCAAGTAAACGGGACAAGACACCTCGTAGTGCTTCTGCCAAGCCCCTTGCCCATGAGTTGCCAATAATAGCATGTAAGTCTCGTTTGAACTTGTCCACCACCAGAGACTTCGCAGCCTCGTCCTCAAGGCCTCGCACGATCAGGGTTAGCCCGTAGAGATACTGACGATGCGCCGCCTCCAGCGTCTGCACGCTGCTTAGCAAGACTTGTGCATGGTCACCCTGTGCTGCACACGCAGCCAACAACGGCAGGACATGGTGTACAAAGTGCTGGCGGACCTGATGGGTGTGCCACAGAAGAACGTCCTCTGTATGGGTGGCACGGGGGAGAGCGGTGGGTGCGCCGAGGAGAAGCGCCAAACTCTCGTAGAATGATGCGTCCCGGTCCTGCGACTCGGCGGGCAAGGTGCCGAAGGAGTCTTCCACGGCCACCGAGGCTGGCAATTGAATTCTTGACGTCACGGTATGCCACGCCCTGTCCCAGCGGACCTGGTCACTGGCTGTTTGGAGTGAGGAGATGTTGGCCAGACGGGTTGTGGAGGTGGAAGATGCGAGTGGCCCACCAAAGGGCTCTCCTGGTACCGTCGGCAGAAGGAGAGGAGTGGGCTGTGAGACGTCAGTTTGGAAAACGGAGCGCAAAACCTTGCTCTTGCGGGCTCGGACTCGTGATGCTGTCATGGTTGCGGCGTCATCATCTCATGAGCTGCTCAAAGTCTCCTCTGCAGGAGTCTCCCGCATAACTCGTGAGAAAATGTCGACAAAAAAGGACGATGAAATTTGCCCCTGCCAGTGTTTTTCCGACTGCTTCCGGTACTTGATCAACTAGCTCTGAGGAAATAGCCGCGACAGCAGGGTCCTCAAAGTTTTTGTAGATGGCAATGAGATGCCCCGTCGGCGTTCAAGTTGAGGCGTGATGTGATGTTGCTCGTCTAGGTACGGTATTGTTTTGTTTTTGGAAACATGCTGACAAACAAAAGTGGGGGTAAGTGCAACCTTAGCTAAGCGTAAGCGAGGGGTGCAGCGCTTAGCGCGTCTGGCATCGGCTGTGCCTGGCCCGATTTGATGCTCTAGGCAAACCAGAGCGTCTTGCCTAGAACCACGCCCCTCCAACATTTGGCTGGCAGCGAAACATTCGACCAAGCGAATATTCAGTAGCTCCAGCAGCGGACGGCGGGGTGGGGATCGTTGGACCTGGTTCTTGTCGATGTGTAAGTCGCGCAAATTGTGTAGCCCCCCTCGACGAAATCGAACCGGACGCATATCCTGTCTACTCCATTACCTGCATCAGCTCACCCTTGACCACCACCGCCTTTAGTCGCTTCTGCTAATGTCGCCAGAAGGGGAATTATCATAGCACCTGAGTTGCTATAGAGGACAACTCGTGTACAGTATGCGACCCTTGGGGGAAAATAAGCACCAGGCCCCGAGGTTTGGAGGGAGGCCTGACCCTGTCGCCGATCGTCTGGGATTCCCCTTGTACGAGGTTGCTTTTATGGTGACGGCAACACATAGTGGCACGTGTGCATCCCCCAGACTGCATTATCATGGCCCCCGTGGAATACGGTACCCAGCGCCCAGTACCTAGTGCGGAGGAGCCTATATGTATTGTAGGCGAGTCTTGAACATTCTATGCTTATGCTCTACTCGACATTGCCGACAAAGGGTGATGGGATCCAAAACCAAGCAAATTTTGGGCTGCTGTCGACAGCATTGTTCGCATTTCACCCTACCCGCGAGATGCAGACCAGGTGTGAGCAAGCTTGAGCGTTCTGCAGTAGGAAACACATCCTCCCTATAATACGTAGGCTGTCAAATTGCCATACGCAGTGGAGATTATGTCAATACTAGTACGTACATACATATAGTATGTACAGTGAATGCATCCACACTAACCATGCATAGGCACCGTTCGAGCAGACATGTTGCCATGTCAAACTATACCAGCCTAGGCACTATTCAGTTACGGACAGGCATTATGCCTATACCGGAAGGATGTACCAACTTGTGTGTCCAGAGACCACCCATTGCAGGCTCCAATCTCGCTAGAATATCCTGATTAAGTCCACCGAGTTTTGTTTTGTGGAACTCGGCCGGTATCGAGCCAACGGAACCCCCCATCACGGGACGTCCGATGACGATGGGTACCAAATATGCCATGGGTACATGGTTGTGTGGCTCGCAGTTTGGACTGGGGGAGGGGACAACCGCCAGTTCCCCTCTCATCTTGGTAAGAGCCCCTGGTTCATCCCACCGCCGGACCCCTTGAGATGTGAAATTTCGATTCGGGGAAGTCAGGTCCGAGTTGCTCGTCACACAACTGTGGTGCGAGGCCATGACGTTGCACCAGCCGGATGAAATAGTCTCTCCGATGCCAAAATCCCAAGTCGACAGTCTCTTTGGTGGGAAAGATGATTTACCTTGACTAGTTTGGACTTGCGCAAACAAAAGTAGCATCCAACCCGGCCCTAGTTCAAGGCAAACGCCATCAGTCAGTCACACAAGGCTATACGGATTGTAGTCCACGCCATGTGCGACAGCAACAAACTGCATTTCCATACATACAGTTCCAACTCTTACGCCATACGGGACCCTATCTGGCACTTGATGCGAGCACACAACTGTACCGTTCTCTCGGTAGCGTCCGTAGCGAGAACCGAAGTGTCGTATTACGGGGTCCGCAAACTGGGTCAATAAGCAGGTATCAACTACTACTATCACCCACACCAGACACTCTCCACTGGAAAAAAAATAATGAAGAAACCGCAGTGCTTGCGAGCGCTTGCGAGCGTGGACATGGACCCGAACCTGGCCAAGGGAGAGGTCGACGACCGACTTGCGTCTCAACTGAATCTCGTCGCCGCACAACTTCTTCTTGCAGTGTCTTGCTGCTACGAGGCTGCGTGCTGCGTGCCATGTCACACTAATGTGCCTTGATAAACACGCTGCATAGGCTGAGACTTGCGGCGAGTCTGCGGTCAGAAATCTACATGCGCTAAAGCAGGCGCATCAAAACGGAAACATACATAATACAAGTCTGGCTGTGCCTTGGACGGACTAGTTGATGCTTCTTGAATCCCGTGGGCTGCAAACACTAGACCACTTCGGCGCGAAGTCAAGACGCATATCGCAGGCGCATGTCTGTGAGGCAAAGGTCTTTGCACTAGGTGGAAATGAGTTAACACATTGTAGTACTCGACGCTCAGCTGTTAGTATTACTCGCCCTTTTGCTCCCATGGGAAGCTACCAGACCAGCACCTCTTTTTGCCAGCGCTGTTCATACTCGGTCCCATGCCTTTCTTTACCTTGAGAGTCGTATCGTCCCAATGTTGACACATCGCCACGGTTCAAGGGACGTCAAGTTCCCGTGTTGCCCGGACATGCCCAACCACCATGGCCATCTCACGTAATTCGCCCTGCATGGGCCTCAAGGCTGGCCAGTGCGGGCCGTACGTGTTGCGTTTACAGATGGACGCTTTTATCTGCACGACAACACAAAGTCAATATTCAGAAGCGTTTCGGCTCAATGGTGAGTGCTCGGCTTTTGTCAGAAATGTCTTGGACGTCAATGGCCATTGCGCGTTTCATACTGCTGCAGTTGGCTCGAAATGCAGTACTGGTTGGTCGGGGCTGATACATAAGGCTCCGTGGATTGTCGTGCGATTGGCCTACAGCAGCAGGTCGGTTGATGCGAAGGTGTTGATGTGGTGCTATGTTTCAAGACTCGGCCGAAATGCCATGACCAACGGATCGCAGAGAGCAGCCAGCTTACGTCCTTCTTCGATTCTCTATGTACATACATACATACTGGGCACCCGAGGCCGGGATCAGACCTAACAGATGTTCAGCTCTGCTCCATGCGCCGCAAGGAATAACTTATCATACATTTCACATGATAGCCCACAAAAGGTGCCAAACCTCTCAAATGCGGCACCGTTCTTCGCGCCCCCACACTGCATCCATCTACACACACCCAAACAGCGGTGGGTGGTGGTGTCTCGGCGCTGAAATGCGTCTTGTACGAACCCAGCCCATCACGTTTCGTCCGAACGCCCCCAGACGATGAGGGGTTTGGTCAGGGATGGCGAAACAAAATAATAATGCTGTGTGCTAATAATAAAAACAAGGCGAGACCACAAGGCGTCAGCGGGAAATCTGGTGGTTGATGAGGGACCCAGCTTTTGCTGCTGGCGCCCACGTGGGAATGCTTGCTTGATGGTTCGGAAAGGATATGTGTGTATGTATGTCCCGCAGCTTTTGATCCGAGGTTATCTGAAACCAGTTTCGAGGGCTCGATGCGGAGTACCTGGCTGTGGCAAGTTGGTGAGACGGCTTGTTACATACAGAGTACATCACTCGGCTTATTTTATCCTCCAAGGAGAATTGAGTTGGCTGTCGTCTCATACGAGACAGAGCTGTTGTTGGAATGGTTCGTGCTGATTATTCCCGGCTCCACCGAAGGCAGCGTTTGGGTTCGCCATTGACTTATACGAAGCATTTGCCTGGGGGAGTCGAGAGTGAAATGCCGCAGAGGCGCTCTCTCCCCATCTCTTCTCTTTCTTCTGGCACGTTAAAATAAAGTCTTGGAAAAGTTCCTGATCAAGTGACTTGTGGCTCCTTGTGTTTCAGACCTCAATGTGCTGCCAAGTTGTGTGTTGTGATCAAGACCCACGTTGAATCGCCAAGGGATGTACATGCATTGCGTCATCAAAGGCGCTCTCGAACTCGAGCAACAGAACTTGTCCTTGGAGACAGTTTCAAACTTGGACTTCCTTTTCTCGCAGTCAGAAACTCCTTTCGTGTACGCCTTCAGCTTCTCGGACCCTTCGTCAACATCAGCCTTTGGCAACAGCCTTCCCTCTGTCCTTGCATCGCCCGAATTTGTTCTCGAACAAGTCCATTTTAACTTCTCGATGATATCAAAAGCACGATTCTTTGTCGTCCTCAACACCAATGCATAAAGAGCTCTCTTGGCAAACTCAGCCATCCGCAGAAGCGCTAGTCTCACATAATAACCTTGACTAAGCCCGGTTCCCTCCGTGTAATAAGGCTCAATGCCCGCCATCTCATGCTCCATGGTGGTCTGGATGGCAGCCGAGGTGGGCAAGGTCGTGTGAGGGCTGATAGTACCACCGCCCATTATAGAATCAAGATGCCGTGGAGCTTGCCAACTCCCACCACAGCCTCTCTAAATCGGGGCATGTCGAGCCGGTTCGTAGCATTTGGGGCGGCGATGAAGCCGACGCTTGATCTGGCAATTGGAGGAGATTTGTGCCGAGGTCTTGAGCAGTGGAGTCCTCGTAGAGGCGCATGCGGGCGCGGGATGATGAGCAGCCTGGAGTCGGGCGGGCAGTCTCGATTATGCTGGACGTTGGGTCGGAGCCAATGACGTTGACAAAGTGAGAACTTGGGCCACGGGCTGCCAGGCCTGGTCCGCAGCGAGCAGCAATGAGGGTTTCATTTTTACCCGCCTGTGGATGTGCAAATCGAAAACTGCGTCATAACTACGGATGGGTTGTAGTCGGGGTGGATGATGCCGTATCTTGACTTTGGGTGAGATTGCTTAAGCCGAATGTTTCCCGGATACATGAGGTGTTGAAGTAGTTGTGAACCATAGCGGACATATGCAGTTTAGTATAGGTGAGGCCCTCTTTTCCTTTGTTTCCACTCATGAATCCGACCGCTATTAATGAAGAGGAAATACTGTATCAAGCTCGAGGTGACATTGAAACTCACCATTGCCGCAATCTCAGTGGCGTACGGCCCGTGAGGCGGTGGGACGGTGCTGAGCAAGCGGTCGCTCTCCAGATGTCATCGTGGCACACATCAACTGGCCTATCAATCTACCTGTTGTTTCCTTGACCTCGATCCGTCTCTGAATTCGTTATTCATTTCCTTTCTTGTATCGTTCCTGGGTAGACCTGTAACTGTCATGTTAGTCCATACTTCGTCCTCAAAACCACACAAAACGCAAGATGCAAGGCAGCATCTGTTTTTCCGCTCTAGGAGTTCCCAAAGAACGGCCCGTTCATTATTGTCGCCTCAAGACTCCACTGTGCAAGCCTCGTCTTCGCGTTGTATGTATGTGTAATGTATGTATGTAGTACAATGTCCTTGCACCGCGATCATGTCGCGATCCACATGCAGGCATCCCGCTAAATAACGGGCCCCAACCCGTCCCAGGCGTCAGTTATCTTTTCGCTTGTTCGCAGGATGGCTTCTACGCTGTCTGGCCGAGAGCAGTGAAGGTCCCTGGCAGTGGGGATTGGTGCTGCTAGTAGCAGCAGGCCATAAGATCTGGTGGCACATTATTCACGAGTCTCCAAAAATGGGCGCCAGGAAAATTCATCATGGTTAGCTTAGGCGCGGGATTTCTTATTCCCACCCGTCATGGATCGCGTCACTGGGGCCAAGGCTGTCAGCTCATCGTAATCTAAGTGCTGGGGCGGCGTTCGGTTGTGGACGGTGGTGGATTTTGTGTGGGCTGGGACGCAAAATCGTCACCAAAGTACGGAGTAGTGCTGATTCCGCGTGGCCATGATTGCTTCCCATCTACCAACCTGAAGACTGGCCTTGATCAGCCAACCGCGGCATTCATCGCAAGCCATCGCAAGCCATCCGCATGGCCAGTCCAGCGTTGCAGCCAGTCCAAGACATGCAGGGCATCTCAAGAAAGATTCCAAGTGGGCCGAGAGGAAAACAACACGGCCAAATGGCGCATGCTCATGCGTCCTGCTCCATCACCACGGGTACCGGATTTGTGTTTCGGTCCCGTTTCGCGGGGCGGCAAGTGTCGTCTCGGCGGCTCCGGCTCCTTCGATTCACGGGAGTTTCTGTGTGGATCCGCATCTACGGGACTGTGCGGCATTTGTTGATGAGTCCCCTCTGATCGTTCTCAATCAACATGTCGAGCCTGTGCCAGGACTCAGGAACCACTCTCGTGTCCGCTGTCTCACAGGATTGGAGGAACCATCGGGTCTTGCGTCCGTTCTCATCTGCACCAGTAACATCGCTTCGGCGGCCCGCTCTGCATTCGTGCACTGATTTAAGCTTTAACGAGTGGGCTGTATAGAAAATTTGTCAATAACTGCGTCTCATAGGTTGGTGGGCAGGCCAGGCGTATTGTCCTTACTTTGAAAGAGCGGCATTCCTTCCACCGCTACCCCTGTATATAGCTTTCATTTCGTCAATGACCCCGTCGCAATGGTCAAGTATCCGCGGGATGGTCTGTTCGCTTGTTTGTGTAGCCTTGGGAAGGGAAAAAAAAAGGGAACGAATACAAGAAAAAAACCACCAGTCTTCGGCCATCTCTTCTGGCCGCAAGCGCCGAAGAGCGAAGCTCAAACGAAGTCTTGCGTTGTACTGCCAGAAGCGGACAGTGGCGCCAAGCAAAAGACGTCTGTCAAACAGTCCCCCCCCTCCCATGTTTCACCCCCCTAGTGGAAGGCTAGTCTTACACAGCATTTCCAAGATTAGTGTTGGGGGCGTCTTCCAGAAACATAGAAAGCATCGAATCGAAAATGGGTGAACAAGGCCCCAAACCATTAGTTCACTTCCCCTTACCCTCCTCTGCTGGAGCTAAGGGAAGCCACAAGCTCATTTCTTGGCTCCGGGTCAAGACAGATGGACGGCTTGGTTCTATTGAGGGGGGAGCGGCAGTGCGAAAATCATCCTAGCCCCCGATCAGTTTTGATCTGATCAACTCACATGGCGGGAGTGTCCTTTTGACCCGGCCAATGCGAATGTCGGGACCAGGAACCCCGCCTGTCGTCAAGGGCGTTCGACCGTTGTCGGGTATTCTCCGTGCTCTCTCTGTATGGAGTAATATACACAGCCTTCTGTCATAGTAGACTGGCAGAACCATCCAGTGCTTTCACACGGAATAACAAGTTCAGAGGGCATCCCGGCCTATATGGACCTGTCGAGATGGTCAAGGTCAAGGAGGACCGAGTTCCTCTGGGTTGATAGGCCAAGAATTCATCCTGGGCAGCACCTGCTAAACCTGGCACTCTGTCCCCAGTTGGCCTTTCCAACCTGGGCTAGCCAACTTGGTCAACACACACCAGACAAGACGCAAGAAGACCCCAAGGCGCCCCCACACCGGGGTCCCGGTCAACATTGCATCTTCATCCCTGCACAACTGTCAAGGTTCTGGTTGGACGGCGTTGGCCCGCCCCTGACATCAATTGGCCTCCATGTCTGCCAGTCATGTCTCCCTCCAGATGTCAGTCCCTCCAGTCCTGTGAGCTGGTGGAATAAAAAACACATTCACCCTTGGGACAAATTGAGCTTGGGTCGATGCAGCAGTTCACCCCCGCGTTGCGCTATTACTGTCTGGTGCTGGTGCTAGATAGTCTGGTACCAGACATCTCGATTCAATGTTGCCTGGCAGTACGTATCCTGATAGCATTTGATGTGGATTGGGCTCCAAGGCTCCGCAGTACTACTTTTTTGCACCGTCCGTCGACAAGGCCAACGGCGCGCTTCACCCATTCCAGCCTGTGTCTAGTGACTGTACCTGTCAAGAGAAGCCAAAGCCCCCAACAAATTGAAAGCTCCGCCAATATTCGTAAATGCCCCTCTTTCCAATAACTGTCCGGTGTAATTCGTAAGAGTCGTCTGCGACGCAACCGCAGTCGTGTTTGCACGCGCGCGTGTGTATGAGACAGTGTGTCTGGTGTGGGTGGGTTAATAACAAAGGCCGTGATGAGGCTCCGCAACGGCACATATGCATATTATAGCACAAACATGTAATAAAGGTTATACAACTTCAGAACACACGTCGATGCAGAATCGCTTGGCTTCCCGCCACACCACTTCAGCATGCTGATCAGTCTGGTTCCACACGCCAGACATTGGACAGCCCGACCAACACATGACTGGCAAACTGGGTACTCCGTACTCTCTCAGTGCTGTGCTTCGTACTCCATACTCATCTTTTTTCTTCGCCCTTCCCACACGGCCTTGCCAGGCAGATGACCCTTGCTGGACGGGGGAGGGGAGGGGGGATTTAATAAATAAATAATAAAATAAATAGATAAATAAAAAACTTCGGGGTCTTTCCGAGTGCCAGTGGACGGGAGATGTGCTAAGTCCGGGGGGTGCTCACTATTCTCCTCTGTCAACACCACCCAAGAGCCACGTCGCACTCTGGCGGCCAAGACGGCTACTACAGTAGCCAGGTTGCCAGTAATAGACCCTATCATGCAGCTTGCATGCACCTAACTCTGCGTCAGACGTCATGAGCCTCCGCCAATGCCACACCATATTGCATTTCTGTATGTCGTCTCCACGAGGAGAACCTGCACCGTCCCGACAATCTCCTCCCATGCCCACCATCCCAGGCAAGCATGTGGTGACGGTACCTTAACGGAACCTTGGCACAGCATTCCAAATCTGACTTCCGCCCGCAACCCAAAGCCGTCATGCCATGTCATGCACGTGGAATCTGCGTCAGACGAGGACGAAGCAGTCTTCTTTGCATATGTAATATTTCCAAACGGCCAATTGAATTTCACTGCACGCTGTGCCACCCATCCCGTTCGGTGATCACCCCTCCAAAATATTCGCCAAAAAAAAAACCGCCTGTAATTATTTTCATGAGGAATCTGCTCATAGACGTGGTGGATATATCCCAAAGTCAAAACAAAACATTCAAATATCCGCCAGCTTCCCATCCAAAGCACTAAGCCGTACCATGAGCTAGAACTCATGGCCTGTGATCCCTAGGTACAGCCTCTTACAATACACCTATCTGCGCCGGAAGATCAAACCCCCACTCAAGTTGAAAGAAGACTTGGTGAACAAAAGTAAATATAAATCACAAGAATAGATGACGTAATCGTACAAGTTTTGTGTCGGATTAGAATCGAGGTCTCCCTAGCCTCACCAGTCGTGAATCGGAACCGGATGTAATGTTGCTGTTTTAGTTGCTGCTGCTGTTGCCTCTTCTCTGCTTACACTTGTCGTGCAGCAAGTGTCCATTTCTGGCGGTTGTTCGAGTAAACTCAGCACCACAATTTGGGCATGTAGCTTTGGCTGCTTGGCCTGATTTCTCCCGCTGATGTCGAAGAAGATTACTAAAGGTGGAGAACTGTCTGCCATTGCACCCATGTTCCCAACATCGAGGTTTTGGCCGGCTCTGAACAACTCTAACATGGCTGCCTTCCTGGCTATAATTTGAATGAGAAATAGGCTGAACCGTTGGCATGGAGTATAGGAGGCCGGTGTCTTGTGCGACTGATAGAGGGGTACGAGTGCTATTGAGCTCATGTCAGAGATTACCTGCCAATCACGAAAATGAGAGACAAGTTCATAGCCTACCTGAAGTCCCCTGGTGCAGAATAAATACCCGGGTAATCCATTGGCATGCTGTACGTTGATGGTCTGAGAGCAAATTCCATTAGCCCATGATGCTTCCGTAACTCGTTGGTCTGGGACAACCCACATCGACTGATAGGGAGAAGAGGTGAACATCTGAGAAGTATGTGAAGCTTCCTGTAGAGCTGCGTTATATGAAGAAAGATATTGCTGGTTGTGTAGAGCTTGAGAAGGTTCTGCGAGTAGAGAGACCTGAGGTGCCGTCGAGTAAATCGGCAGGGGGATTGCATTAGAAACATCGTTCAGGGCCATCGGCGGCGGGGAGGTGGTGTATGAGGCACTGTCAGTGCGTCTCATCCTAGACGTCAACTTGGACTCTCGTCGTACTCTATCTCTGTGCCTCCTCATCTCCTGTTGCTCAGGTGTCATGGATAGGCGTGGCGGGCTAGAAGCTAGTGATCTTGTCTCGCTGGGAGGAGTCAGGCTGGCGTCTGAGCCGCTGACAAGAGAATTAAGGTCAGCTCCTAGAATATTGTGGTTTGTTGCCGCTGAGTCAAGAGGCCCTATGGGTTCGATTTAGCTGATACTGCTGCTTGTATGAACGAAATAGTTTCTTACCAGGCCAAGGGAATACCGATCTGGGTCCCATTGCAAAGGCAGGGTCGAACTGGATTACAACCGCGCTAATTTTTTTCCCCTCGGTAAGTGTGTTGCTTGGAAGCGGCAGAAGGGAGAGTAATACCTCATATTGATTGTTTTCGAAAAGATCAAGCCCAAATTACTTGTTGGTGGTATGGCCTCTGGCTTTATGTTTCTCATACGGAGTTTGTCCACAGCAAAAGTGAAAGGGGAAAACAGAGAGAGGTGTGCTTCTCAGCTTCTTATGCAAGCCTCGAAAGAGCGCGCAGCCTTGACAAGTGGTGTGGGAGGGTAAGCGCTCGGGGAGTGACACTGCAGCCAGAGCCCAGAAAGCCACACCAAATAGAAAAGTCTTGGAAAATAGCACTTCAGGTATTTCTGCGTTCTTCTTTTCTCAGAGTGTAAGCCGATGTCGTGACATATTCTCCATCGACTTTCCAGTGCCAAACACAGTCGCGAACTTCAACAAGGGGAAGAAGCCATGTCCTCGAAATAGTTCAACTTACAGTTTCCTTAAAGACCCAGGAACTGATGGTCAGGTTTTAGCCAGAAGATGGATGTTGCCACGTTTGGGTGAGACAACAACAATTTGATGTCCAAGACAAGAGAAGTGGCAGAAGGAATGAATATATCCTTGGGGAGGTGATTCGCAGAAGGCTGGACAACCAGATACCAGGGCATAGGCCTGTATTATAGCACAAGGTCCTACCGAACTCGAGTGGAGTTTCATATCTTAGTCTTGATGAAGACACTGGGGCCATGGTGAGAGAGGGGACTGGCAAGGTGTAGGAAGTAAACTGCCGCCGGGATAGACATCAGATGCTACAAACCCCGTACTCATGCTCAGGATATGGGAACATGGCAGTAACAGCCTAGTCGAGGCACGGCTAGCATGGTTCAGAACCAAACCAGGTACATACAGACAGACAGCTCCTCCCTAGGGCATCTGAGTGGTGAGGTTACCCACAAAATCGGAGGCATCTTGCTGCTTGGGGGCGTGAACGTTGCTTGGCATTGTACAGAATACAATGAGAGGCTGGATGCGCGTGCCGGTGGGTATTCTGGGGTGTGGCCACGGTGAGGCAATGGCTCATTGCGACTTATGTAGTATTACGATTTTATACGTAGTGTATGGGTGTGAGAGACCAAGAGGCTGGCCTGCCTGCCTGCCTGCCTTGGCTCCGGGAGCCTGTACTTAGTCGCGCGTCTCTATGGCCATAGCGATACACAGACGAACAGCTTGCTGACCCCAGTCCAGTTAGTTACGGGCCTGCCACCTCTGACGTGTGGCGCGGTCGGGGGGAGGAGGGAAGGGATCGATAGGCTCCAGAATTGGCGGCCCATCCCAACTGGACAATCTAGCGAAAAAGGCCAGGATACCGAATGCAGCGGTGGGTGTTTGTTGAAGCCAGGCAGGGTTTGGACGGAGGTGTCCGGTTCGGCTAGGGGGACGGCCAGAGAACTACCTAGGTAGTCAGGCCTTCCTAGGTACCTACCCAGGTAGTTATGTATGGACAGTCTCCCAAGCAGCCGTATCTTCTGTACATGTACACTCTACCACAGACTGAAGGTGGTGGATGGGTGTGTGCAGAGTCAAAGGCATACCAGGGGTGTTGGACCAGGTGGGTGAGACGAGAGCCGAAGAATTTGACATGGAGCCAGCCTGGCAGCAGGACCACAGCTCGCCCTGTGGTCGCCTTCAAGCACCATCACCATTCTCTCAAGGCTTTCTTAGACAATGGCCATCCACGTTCGGGAAGAGCGTCGGTGCCCATGATATTATCATGTCAGGACTACCTGGGGTGAAGAGAACAGAGCTTTTCTTGTGTCAAAATAAGGGGGTATCTTACTGGCTAGTGAGACGATGAACTCAGCTTTTGCCAATGCAACCAACGTTCGCAAGCCTGAACAGATGCCCACGTGCTGGACGCCGAGGCGAGAATTCCCATGGCACTAGTATCTTCGATAGCAGGATTGGGATCCTTGCCGCCTTTTCTGAGTGCTTGGTGGGACTCGGCGGTGTTGGACGATGGCCTCCTGCCTCTCAAGCTGTTTTCAATGGCAAACGGATATGACCGCAGTGATCCAGGGCCGTCTGCAGTATGTGCTGTAGTATAGACCAAGGGGTTGGGGCTGTCGAGCCACAAGCCAAAAACGCCAACGACGTAGCGGGTATGCGGTTCTGTTGGTTGATTGCGAACCAGTACATACGTACCTAGTGCAACCAGAGTATTTTGGTCAAGACAGCACTGAGGCCTCCTTCATGGCAGCGTCGAACCCAGTCTTTGCAAAGTTGGCGATGAGTGAGCAATTAGGTCTCCTTACGCCGTACGCACAGCAGGATCCATTCCAACCCGTCCCAGGTCCTGCAAAGTGGAATGCCATGATGAAAGTCAAACCCAAACCCGATGTGTCCATAGTCCGTCCATCAGAGGGTAACAAGCACCTATGGCTGTCAGAGGTGTTGGGTGCTGGAAGAATTCACAGCAAGTTCTCAAGTTCGTTGCGACACAGAGCCTCCACCCTCTATGCCTGCCGGAGTCGTAGCTTTGTTTTTTTAGTCCAGCGAGAGACATGTGGGATGCGTTGGCGTGTGGACCCTCCTCTCCCACCGTCCCACCCTGGCTCTCCCTCCCAACGGCTCATGCCCATTCGCGCAGGTGTAAGTTGCACACACTCTCTGAGCTTCTAGTTGGGCTCGACTCGATACCAGTGGGATGGTGCAAAGGGCGAAGATCGCCAGCATGTGAGAAATGCGGACAGCCGGAGCCGAAAGATTCGGGCCAAGATCGAGCACCGATAATCAGCTATCAGAAATGCCTCTGAGGCTGCTGAGTGTCAGAGTAATGGGTCATATTACCGCAGCTTGCCGCCTGGGAGTGGTCATCTCACCCACTTCATAGTCGAGCCTGGTAGTAGTAGTATTCCGTAAGGTGTCGGGCTTGGTCTGCAAAAGACACTCACAAGAGCTTGGGCAGTTTCAAGTTCGATTGTGTCGACTTCGTGTCGTTTTGGCTCGCTGACTCATCGACTCGTCAATATCTGCGTCAAAATCCGTACCTTCCTCAAACTCCAGTCAAGTTTGGGAAAGCGCGAGGGGTGGCAGACCTTCAACCATATTCCATTAACGGGAATGCAAATCCCAACTCTGACCTCTTGCTAATACGACACAGCCCATTTGGCTCTATGCCTGCTCAATGGCTTTCAAGTTTGTACGGCCTTGTTTTGTGTTTATTGCTTTGCTGCCAGAATTCTTCCAAGGACTTGACTGTGCACTGACATTTCGCGGCTAGACTCGAGCCTTGGTTCCGACCTATAACGAGGAAGGAAATGTGGATGTCTGAATTACTACTCCGTACTGCTAGTATCTGCTGTACGAACCTATCCCGGTTAGCTGCGCAAACCAACACAGCTTGTTTTGGACACACCCGAGGACCCTCGACGTAACGGCGTCTAAATCAACCAATGGTAACCGTTCCGACGCTGACAGCTGTCTTCGTGTCGCTGTGCGTGGATCAGCAACGAAGCCATCTCACACCGGCGTGGCTCTGGACAGCGGCCCCAATCGGAGCATTGATCAATCTTTGGACTGGGCGGTGCCGGCTGTCGCTGAGCAATTTCATCCACGCCCCTCCCTTTGGCCGTCAATGATCCCATTACCCATGGCGGCCAGCCGCCCTTCTCATCCTGGAACAATGACCATGTCTGTCATCCCAACCCTGTTGGGCCATGCAGATGTGGATCTGGCCCCCATGAAGCTATACCAGCTGTGCTGTATAATACAACAGGTGCAGTCCAAGTCCACGCAGCCCTCGTTATTCCGGTCCTGTCATGCCCAATGCCCAAGGAATAACACTATTCTGGGTACGGAGGAGTGACGTGGGTATCAGTCCATCCCCCATTGGCTCTGGAGAAACTGTCCCGTCCACCACAGGTCGACGATTTAACTAGTTCTAGTATTGTACGAAGTACCGGTGGGCTGATCCATCACCCATGATTCCTCTACCGAGTGTTTCTCTCACGCTTGCCTGGCTTTGCCCAAAAGAGCCAGTGTTGAGGGCCAGAATTGGGAGTTGGTGAGATTGGAGTCTGTCTATCTTTGAAATGGCCTGTTTTAACGACTCTGCCAAAAGTGGAGGCCTCCTACAAGAGATGGTCTTATTATGGTAGGTCTTCTTCATTTTTCCTTTACAACATGGCCAGATAAGACAAGCTAGTATGCATCTACACACGTCTAGTCTGCAGCTCTATGAGGCAACTGTCCGGTCAGAGTGCCGTGACCCGTGTCAGACCATAGACGTCATCCACTGAGACTCTCTTCCCCTACGTCCAAGGGTTTATCATGATGCAAGAGGTCGGTATGAGCATTTGGACGAAATTTCGCTGCATCCAGTAGAGGGGGCCTCGGAACGCTTCAGAGCAATTTTATTGACTAAATTGACGAATCTGACTTCACCTATTCCACGGGCGTGCTACTTAACATGCATATTGAGGATTGAAAAGTTAAAGTATGAGATTTTCGTTGCGTACCATGGCTACTCTTCTTTGAGCTTTACCTGATGGAAGAGTCCGGCAGCAGGGTTGTTGATAAGACACTGCATTGCCTCATGTCAGGTACAAATGTACATGATGTGAATCCCTTGCATCCGAGAGTTCATCGTGGTCAGGAAAACAGCCACATGCAGTTCGCATGTTACCAACTTGCAGAGTAGCTCACGCTCCTCGTTTCAGCGGATGATTCTTCTCCCTGTCATTGGATTATCTGGAGTGTTTTGCGGATGCTAAGCGTCTCCAGGGCATCGACCAGGAACAAGTGCAGGTGACCCCGATCACCTCGTAGCAGCGCAGTTCCAATCGCACAGCCTCGCGTGTCCAAGTGGTTCACAATAGAGACACTTGCAATGAAAGAGATGCTGGGGCGCTTGGGTAGGACAGCTATACTATTCGTGGTCTACAGTCCACGTTGAAGTGGTTGTCATGAATATGCCGTCGATACAGCTCTTGCATTACCGATGCCGATGAAGCCGTTGGTAGGTGTCAGTGCTCATGAACGCAACCCAGATGGACTGCCCGGAATCTAGGCAGTCTAAGCACCCCATTCACAGAGGTCTGTGATATCCCTAGAGAACAAGCTGTACAAATCACTGATTTAGCGCAAAACTCAGGCCCAGATCCAGGGGGAACAGGCCTCACAATCTGTCAGTTTTGCTTCATCATAAATTTTCGCCAGCAGAGTCATTCATGGGCGTAATGGAAGTACAACATTTTGTGAGATCCGACTGCGCCTTTTCTTAAATACGAAACAGCATATCTACTATTCGTGTTTATTCTGGTCAGACTGAAGCATAACATGGACAATTAGCCACGCGTTGCTGATCGGCTCCTATCCTTCAAGCAAGTCCTTTTGATGCAGCCTCCCTGCAGGTCACGGACGTCACGTTCAGTCTAAACAAGAGAATCCTAATCGAGAAAGAAAGGCGGAACTACAATAGATCCGCAAGTCTTTTTAATAGATTTCGGTGCTAAAATCCGATGTTTCATATCCTCACCCCTAACACTAGACCCATGAGGTTACATGACGAAGACTAAGCCAACAGGAAGATCTTAGGCAACTCTTATCTCCCGAACGGAAATACGGCAGTCTATCGTGTTATACTCGTCAAATACCTCGGCTCAGAGAAATCAGGTCCGTCGCGGACAACTACAGAGTCTGTTTGATCAGCCCGAAACCCGGCATACGATTGACTCCCTTATCTCAGAGTATCTTCCGGGTGCCGGTACTACACGGACTCTTCAATCACTTTGAGAAGACGGACGGAACGACCGCCTTGTTGCTCCTGAGAACAGACCACTTCCTTGGTAACGTTGCCTTCCAATGGCATATGATGTTAGAATTCTTCATCCCATTATATGGAGAAGGTCTATTTTGGGCACAGCCTTACTCTTACAGGCTACAAATCGAGGTATCTAACCGCCTGGGGACGGACGTCGAACTCCCATTTGTCGGGTTGAAAATTAGCCATTCGGCAGTATCAGTAAGGGCTCGTCACTTGATCCCTAAGAGAGTTTTCTTGGTAGATGCAGAGTAACCTGTCTACTTTCCATCTTGGGACTTGGCACTTTAGTCAGGTACGACAACGCACAAATTTGGCGGTGTTCTGCGGCGGATGTAACATGAACATGAAAAGACATGGGTTCTCGCAACGCCACACTTGAACCGTTGGTCTGGTTGGTAGATCTATGTGCAAACCAAAAGAGGCAGGAGGCATTGGGGAGGTAGGGTAGGCGTTTGACGGCTTTTCTACAGCTATAATGCCTCGGTCGATCCGACTCCCCACAAGAAGAAGCTCGGATGTCGATGAGATGGCGGAGAGAGACAGACACGCCTGCTGCTGCTGTCTTGGGGGACAGAGAGCGGCCTGAACTACTACGTACCCCGAAGGTACGGGACTGGCTTCAGAATTGTATGGGCATTGCTGGCTCACGTTTGTCGGATTAAAACGCAAGATGCATGCGCTTACTCACACCATTCCTCAACTCACCCGGCAAGTGGAGCTGACAAGTCACATATTAGTCGACCGTAACTATCCTCGTGTTACACTATGATCACGGGGCAAGTATTAGACATGCTTAGTACTACTCCGTATACTCTCTGTGGTACAAGGCTCGCAACGAGATCGAGGCTCTTCCACTAGGCCTCCAACAAGGCTCCGGAAGCCACAAGGAAATTTTGGGGATAAACCAGAGCCCTATCTTGTATTAAAATATGCATACACGAAAGGCTACAGGAAATATGACGGGGTCGTCTATGCACCTAAACTCGTTCGCACGACGGGATTCAAGAAAACCCCGGGGAAGGGATGGGGTGGCACAAAGCAGGTACGCTTCATCCATATACACCATTCGTGGAGAGTGCCCGGCACAAGTATCCGGCACCATTCGCCATGTGTCTGCATGGTGACCCTGAACAAGATGCGGCCGAGGAATCCGAAGGGCGGAAGAGTAATTGGGTCCATGGCTTCGGACAACGGACTTCTCGTGGCCAGCATGACTGACCGCCAAGCTAGTCACGTCGAAAAACGAACGACACCCCGAGCTGACGGTCTATCATGTCTACCATATTTGAAATTGACACTGGGGCTTGATCATCCCATTTGTACCTTGCCGGAACGGCTGAAAACAGGAGTACTATGTTGGACGTCAGCACTACCGCAATCGGTATTCAACGGTCCGTGTCGGCTTGGGTCAGAATCTCATTCAAGTATACCGAGGAAGACGTCGGGACCCGGACTAGCAAGTGGGATAGATAGTCGGACACTGCCTAATAAGTTTTCTCTGAGATCCATTTGTAAGACTGAGTCATTGCAGTGCTCACGAATCAGCTCAGCCCAGGCAGCCTCGACACTGGACAGGCGGCGATTTTGTGCATCGTTGCGGAGAGTCAGATTATTATGACGGGGGTTCCTGGACTGTGGCACCGGAGATTCGAATTTCTCGTTGCAGGCAAGGCAGCCGGCAAAACGCCATGGGCTGCTGTGAAGCCCGGGGCTCCGACACTATTTGCCCTGGCCTTTGTGTTGCGGATCGGACATAGGCAGTCGGTTGCGCAAACGCGATTGTGGCACCAACTTTCGTATCTGATCCGTCACTACCCTGGAGTCGGGCCAAAAAAAAACAGACGGCTCGTACGCTCCGTCCAGTGCTGTTTGTTGGTGACTGATTGAAACCTCGTGTGTAGTATCAAGTTTCTTGTTGGGCTTCCTTCCAATTAGACTTCACCAAAGCTCGGTCTCGAGGAGCTAGTAGCTGCGTCCAAGCGGCTCAGGTCTCGGGCACCATGAAATTGCCTCAACGGAAGGAACTTATATCCTTCTCCGCGCGGCTTCAGGCAGCCACATCCGCGCAAAACCACCAGGCACTATGGACACTTGGCCGCAATACGTGTTCAACACACCCACGCGACCCCCGACGTTTCCAAATATCGACTATTTGCCAAAACAAGTCACCACTTAACCGCGGAGGCTGATGCTGCACAAAACTTATCAGGCACCCACAGTAAATACCTAGTCACGAGCACAAAAACGTCACGGTTTACCCCATCCCTGCTCAACAACGCCCCCTTCCTCTCGGGCGCAAAACAGAACCCTGGAAAGAGAAGAAGCAGAGGGACCATCAGCCGAGCACGCGTCCCACGTCCCGCCTTCACGACGCGCCCCGAACACAGACGACGAATTCGCAAAGAGCACGGCAGCATACCCGTACACAATGGCCGCCTTCATCACCGACCTCTGGGAGTCCATCTTCGTGCCCGGCCCAACACCCACCATCCTCAAAGCCACAAACGCCACGTTTGCTGCCCTCCAAATCGTCCTGTTTGGGCTCCTCGTCGCCACGGCAAGCATACACTTTGTAATCTTGTCGGTCCTGTGCGCAGGACTATGGTACTCGATTAACTGGTTCGCGAACGAGGTCGCCGTCGCACAGAAGAGGCAGCAAGAGGAGGCGGAGCAAGCAAAAGCCAAGGAGGAGGATGCCACCGACGACAAGGGAGGGGATGACAGCGATACCGAGGTTGAGACTACAGCGAGAGAGGGCCGGCAGAGACTGAAGAAGAGAGGGGAGACCGGCGGTGCTGCCGGCCAGGCAAAGAACTCGGAAGTTTCGTCTGGGGGATCGACGCAGTCTAGTGTGAGCACCGAGGATGAGTGGGAGAAGGTCTCGAAGAGCGAGAAGTGACATTGTCCGGGCGCGTACATGAGCGAATAATGAAGCGAGGATGCAGCGTATTAAATTAAATAAGAAGAATATAGTATACTTGGTGATGCAGTCTTGGGAAACACTCTAACCCAAATCCATCCGTCTACTTGCTATCCAAGGTGGTTCCAATGTCTAGATTACAGTGACTTCAGCCTCCTCGTCGCAAAGGATGCCACCACGGCGCAAACAGCCCCTACGAACAAACACACAGCTATAGCATTTGGGCCGTCCCTCCCCGGCGCTTGACCAGGATTTCCCAATTCCCTACTCTTGCCTGGCTCCAGGATGGCAAATACAACCGTAGCCAGCAATGTCCCCAAGAACTGGGGGATGGTGGTGTAAATGTTGAGAATGCCAAAGTATATCCCGGACAGCTCGCCAGAGGATGATGCCGGGGTTTCAGGCCCATCGCCCAACAAGGTGGGCGCCTTGCGGTTGTTCAGCTCACGGAGTTCAGTGTCGGTGTCGTTGGATAGACGTCTGTTTCCAGTACGGCCACTCAATTTGTTGACTTCGATGCCAAGCAGGGCCGTGGGCGCCCACATGGCGATGGTCCACGGTCTATTCAGGCTGCTCGTTAGGATGGAAGCACGGTCATGGAGAAGGGTGGCGTAGGTGACTTACAGTCCGCAGAGACATACGAGTGTCGTGGCGAAGCGAAAGCTCGTGGCAAATGGCGCAAGAGACATTGACGCCGCAAACATGATATGGCCAAAGATCCAGGTGGACAGCAAATCGGGCTTCATGTCCTCGAAGCGCTTCAGAAAACCGGCCACAGCCTGGGGCGGCCGAGCCGTGTACGGCTCTTCGTCGGGCGACTTGACAAACAGCGGCATGACAAACGACCCCGTGCAGGTGATGAAGGAGTACATGACGAGGGATTTGCTCCCTATACGGCCCATTTCACCGAGTATATCCTCTGACTGCCTCGCATCTGCGGGGATGTCGTATCGGAAATAGATCTCGCCCACCCACGTCGTGCTGTAGAATAAGAATGGAAACCAGCCGATCCAGGACCAGAATTGCGCCCAGCAGATGGCTTCGATGCGAGGTGGCAGGTGGCGTAGGGTAGAGTAGATTTGGCCGAGCACACCATAGCTGCTTTGCGGCTTGGATCCCTTGCTGGAAACGAGGACGCTTTCCCGGACGGCCCAGCATGTCGTTGCCGTTGTAGCTAGAATAGCCATGGCAGCAATGAGGGTGAGTTGTTGGAACTGGGTCTGGCCGAGAGTGTTGCCGAGGATTTGAACGAGGTCGATGGCTCCGGCACCATATCCCACCACATGGCCAACTGCATTCATTCTGCTCGCTGTAACGGCATGAGTAACTGCCCTTGGGCGTGTGGGCGGCGGCGAGACTACGTACCCCAAGCCGCGCCGGCTTGCTGCTTCTCCAACGGCAAAGTATCGACAATCAGGCTTCTCGAGCAGGACATGACTACCAAGTGTTAGCGCTTGAGGGCGATATCCCAACTCAAGGCTCGAACGAGAAAAAGGGACGCTCACCAGCATTAATAGCAAAATCTAATGCGTAAATGGACAAGACGGCCAACGCAATCGTCGGTCCCTTGGCCAACTCCTCGTCCGGCAGCACAAACTCCACAATCTCCTTTGTAAACCCCAGAATAATCAGGCAAACAGACACGATCAATGCTCCGATGACCATGAAAGGCCGTCTGCGCCCCCATTTCGAAGTATTCTCGTCCGAGATTACGCCGATGATGGGCTGAACGAGCAGGCCGGAGAGGGGGCCAGCAATCCATATCAGGGAAGTGTTGGATTTGGTGAGGCCGAGATTGAGAAGATAGGGCGTACAATCTACCAGAGCGGGAGGGCGGTCAGAAAGCAGGCGCTTGGGATAGACGTGTAGCAGAGGCGGGCTGGGCTGGCTGCACTTACATGTCATTTCGATACCCCATGTGAATCTACCTTGCGTGTCAACCCCCCGACGCCTTCTGCAACTTGGAGATGGCAATGAATACTCACGTTATTCCAATGGTGCAAAAGTTCAGCAAGATCATACGCGTTGCCTCTGAGCGGCCCTTGATGGACGGCTGTCCCACCAAGCTAGCCATGTTGAAGTCGTCCCCTGTGCAGCGGTCGCGCTGCTTGCGGCGTGGCTCGGGCTAATGCCAATCTGCCATTTGGGTTTTGGCGATGACGCTTCGTCGTTTGACGCGCCGAGTCGATGGACTTCTGCAAGCTGTCTCCAAGATTAGCGCGAGTCGGGTGTTACCAAAGTGTTCGACTGTCGGAGAGCGCATGTACTTGATACCCGTCTTCTCGATGCACCGCGCTAAAGAGGAGCGTCGGCACGTCGATTGTTCAATCGATTGTGCAATTGATGGGAAGAAGAACAGGCCAAATGAGTGAAAGAGAATATAATACAATGCTGTAACGGTAGTTGCGCAAAGCAAGAAATGAATTTGTCTCGTGTTGGCTGGGCGCAGCCACACAATAAGGCTTATGTACAGACACGTCCTGATTCGGGCGGGTGGAGCACCAGACATTTGAACTCTTGAACTTGCGGCACTCACTGATCGAAGTCGGCTGGGTGGGACCTGCCTTGTCAACATGAACCCACATGTTCAAACGTCAACTCGGGCCGCAGCACTGGTTACTTCAAGCGGTTTGGCTGCCGCCGTAGAGTCACCATTGAACGCTGTTATAAACCTTGAAGCCGTTAAAAACAAAAAAAAAAAAAAAAAAAAAAAAAGAAAGGCTGGCATTGCGCGTCACGTCCAGCGCACCACAAATGAATCATATTGTATTGTATTCGTACAAATCGTCCTGTTGGTATCTTAATCTGGTCCCCTCGATTCTGCATCTGCATCTGCATCTGTCTCCCGGCTTCCGTTTATTCGCCAACCGTAACAAAATCTGGCCTCTTCATCTCCCCAGTCCTTCAATTTGTGCGAAACAAACGACTCAATTATTGTAGAGTGTTACCCAGCCCTGCCTTTTGATATTCTCGTCAAACGCCGGGCTCCCATGTCCTTCTCCTTGACCTTGCCCAGCAAAAATGCCCTCATGAGAGGCAATGTATTGCTAATGGGTGGTGGCGGAGAAGCTAGAAACAAAAGGTGAAGTAAAAGGGAATAATAAAAGACCGCAATTTTCGCTAACATAAATGAAAAGTTGATACAAGAACCCTGACCTGTGATGAGAGAGGGGTCGAATTGTTCTCCCCTACCGAGATATCGAGAGGCTTTGGTTCAGGGCAAAAGCAGGACTACGAGTTTTATCTTCTGCCCCAGAATACTGAAAAATCGAAGTAAATAAACACCGCGCCTTTCCAGAGAATGTTTTGCCTTTTTTTTTTCTTAAAAGGGGGAGGAAACCCCTGGGGGGGGGGGATTGAATTTGTCTACTGATCGGCCAGTTTTGCAAAGTGCTTTGACCAGATCCAGCCAACTTGATCTTTTGCGTCGTCTTGGTTCTTTGCCAGCCAGAGCTCGCCCTTTTCGGCTATGACATCGAATATCTGGGCAGCCAATGTTAGCTCAAATAGATGCACTCAAATAAAATTATAATGTGCCTAATTTCACGGTGAGCTTACCTCTCCAGCTTGATATGTCAGATACGGATATCCAGCTTCGTGTTTAGTGGTAGAGATATTGAATTCAAAGAGTGAGGCAGCCAGCCACAACACTCTGTAGCCGTCGGAATTCTGACCACGGTCGGTGGACGACGCCCTCGACGCTCGTTGGCTATTGCCTTCATCAGGTCCGTCCGACATTGGGAGAGCCGAATGGAACAGGTTGGAAAATCGATGAGGTTCACGCTGAGTATCCTGGAGCACGTAGGCCGAGTTATAGGTTGCGCTAGAGTCGCGATGTTGCAGGACAGACGAATCTGAGCTTTGTCGGATCATTCCAGGATCGAAACTACGGCCAGTGCTGGGCCTTGTCGAAAACATGCCGCTAGCAGCACCGGGCCGTGAGCTGCTGGCCATCTCGGGAGACTTTGGTGAAGCGGATCCTGCCTGGCTGGCCTGAATGCCGGTATAGTAGTCACGATAATAGTACTGATGTGGACTTGGCACGTTGCCATTTCCAAAGCCAGGGGTAGCGCCATGGCTTGGTGACATGGTGAATGAGCCACTGCGGCGTCCCCCAAAGTCTGGTGCAGGTAATGACGGTGCCATGTCACCGTTCAAAGATTGACCGCGACTGCGAGATTCGACATCCGAGGGCCGATACCTTGTTCGTATTGACACATCATCCACACTCACAGAGGTTGACTGTGACGTTCTACCCCAGGTTGCTGGGTTGAGGATACCAATCTGTGCCATCTGATCGTGGGCATAGGGAAAGTCTTGCTGAAAGGTTGACACTACCGACTGCAGGTCCGGCATATCCCCGCAACCTGGCAAGACCATCTTCATCTTTTCCTTCCAAATGGCATACCAGTTCGCCTGGATATTCACAAAGTTTCCAAGACAAATGTTGCCAACTTTTTCAGTCAAAGTTGACAGCTGAGGAAGTTCCTTCTTCAATGTATCATTCAGTGCCTCGTACTGTTCGACAAGCTCCATTAGCTTGGGATCGGGTGTTTTCCCACTTCGCTTTAGCTGTTCGAACCGCTCATAGTCTATTCGCCGCTTCTGCCTCTTCTTCATGGCCAATGATGGGTTGCCATATGCTTTAATGACATGCTCAAATGGCTCAATGACGTGCTTGCGGACTTGCGCTAGATGCTCCTCCAGTGCAACCTTTTCCAGGTCGCGGACGGAAATATTAAACTGTACCCATTTGCTTTCAAGTTCTGGATAGTTGCCAGGCTGAAGCCGCATAACAAGCTCAATAGACGACATGTACTGAAGGAATTCGTGGACATAGGCCGACACTTGCCTCGTGTAGAATTCAACGTCTCGAAGGACAACTTGAAGTCGAAGATAGTCATCCCCGAATTTTTCGTTAAGTTTCGCATAGTCTGCATCTTCTGCCGTGCGGTTGTTGGATGCCTGTAACTTGTCAA